TGTGTGTGTGTGTGTGTGTGTGTGTGTGTGTGTGTGTGTGTGTGTGTTTGTTTGCATGCAAGTGAGAGAGAGAGAGAGAGTGAGAGAGCGAGAGAGAGAGGGAGGGTTTCTGCTGTTCTGAGGGAAAGAGTGGGATTCCCATTTCTAGTATCATGACAAAGGTGACTTGAGACATACTGGAAAGGAGTGAAACTCCACATGCAGCCTGGATATTAACAAATTCTTTCCCTGGAGGATTTATTATCTAAAATGGACTATATCTGAAAAAAAAAAAACAACTGCCTTCACATTTGAGATTTACTGCATTTGATTTGGATTTGAAGGGTTCTTCTGCTGGTCGAGTAGTCATGAAAGGTACAGGAGAAGCTTTGCGTGCTGTGTGTCACATGTGGCTCTGATGTAGCATTAATGAGATGGGCTTTTAGCACCTCATGAAGAGATGTTTGTCTTTTTTTTTTTTCCTGCCTCATTTCTTACCCCATCCCCCCCTTTCTCTCCTGTCTGATGGGTTAGTGTCTTTCCACCTCAGCTTTTCTAATGTTAACACTGTGCTGAGATCTTTCCCGCATTTCAGCTATTGGTATGGGCTGTAAGTGTTAATGCACGACAATGAGGTGTAGACGATTTGGATATTTATCAAATTTTCATTAACATTTTACTTGCAGTTATTTTTATGACTGAGGCGAAAAAGAAAATGTAGTCAATGGGTAGTTATGATTGAAGTAAATAAACACGTTTTTACTTTACAGTAGTAGTTTAAAAATGTTAAACAATGTGCCAAGTGTAACTGTATAGACACTTTGAACATCTTTCTTCCTCTATTTCTCACATATTTAAGTGGAAAAAAGGTAGAAGGATTTCTTCAAATGTATTTAGGAATGTGTTGGCTTTGACTGGAAGGATCTGCTGAGTCAGCATGTGGATGACCAGTTCAACAGGGGAAGTAGGTTTAATCCTGCCTCTCTCCTTCTATTGTGAACACTGTAATGTAATTAAGCAGTTGAGGGAGAAACAAAAGAAGGACTGAGAGAAAGAAAGGGCAGGGTTAAAAGTAAGATCTAAAAAAAAAAAAAACTGTTTCCAACAAATGTCTGTAATGAGGTTTAATTTACAACAAGTGGTTTAATTAAGGATTGCTTTACCCAAGACAAAATTGGGACCATTTGCACTTAACAAAGCATGCCAATTACAGAAAGTGTAAAGAATATGAATATTCATGCTGGATTCATTAAGTTGTATTTTATTCTGTGTGTGCTATTGTCAATGTTTTGATTTACATTTTTAATTATTTAACATTAGTGTTGATCAGAATCTATTCTTACCAGCAGCATTCACAACAATGCATCATTTTTTTCTTCCCACAATTCTTTAATTAAAAACATTCGGCTCACATCACTTTTCATTACACTTTTGATTTGCCTGCAATGTGAATCATAAAGCAATAACCAATAATGCATTCACACGTATAGCACAGATGGAGGTTGACTGTTTATTGCATTTCAAAGTTGAATCTGTATTTTATTTTTTTAAAGTGTTTTGACAAAGTTAATAAAACAATTTTTAAAAAGATACTCAAATTAGATATTTTTTAACTGTCACAATCTCAGCAGAATGGTCTACTTTCTACACACATTTGTTCAATGTGTATATCACCCATGGCCATATGACCGTATGATGTACCTATGCTGGGTGTGTACTGTATGTAGAAGCAGTCGGACTTGCATTACAAAGTGCATGTTAGAAAAGCGTGTGTTTTACCTTGAGTCTTGCTCTGAGTGAGACACTTAACCAGTGCGGCAGCCTAAACATTCCCTCAAATGTTATTACTGGAAGCACAGAACCTGATTAAGCACCTCGGGCCAGGCTGGTGTCGGAGTCTAGATTTACGGCTCCTTCATCTTCTTCTCGGCAGCCATCTGCGTCTCCTTCTGTGTCGTCTACCTTTCACGACTAGATAACAATCAAAATACTGCATCCTGGGTAATTAGCAGAGTGTGAGACCTGCGGGAGGGTAAAGCCTGGACTTGTGTTGTGGTACATTTTATATGGTTAATGCCACATTGAATTCTGGTATAATTGTCTCGTAATTCAAACAAAAGTTTCAGTAACAATGATTTTCTTAGGCTATAAACTATCTTAACTTCAAAATATCTTAATTATTTTGGATTTGTTAAGTGTGTTTTTTATCATATTTTCATTCAGCAAAATTGTTGTGGTTTGATTTTGTAATTTGAGTAACTTTGCCCCAAACAAAATTGATACTGTTTTTAAAAGCTGCTTCATAGCTACAATCCAAGGCTCATGTTGGGTTGGAAAAAAAAAGGTTAAATCATAACTAAACCCTCAGCTCAAGTTTAGGTCACTTAAAACAACATTTTCAGTAAGCGATTCAGTCGCCCAGAAGGCAAAGTGTACAGGTTTTTGTCAGACATATTGACATTTTTAACCCTTTATCTTGATTGGCTGTATCAAGCTGGCTAATCATTCACAAAATAAGCTAAGTTCTGGTCAGTAAATGCAAGTTGAACCAGCTTATGTACACTTGCCTGTTGAAGGACTTGGACCCCTGACCAACATCCCTCTTAGAGAATAGCGCCACACGGTCAGAAGTGATGACAGGGTAGATTTTGTCAGTTTTTTGTCAGTGTTTTGAAGGCAGCTTTGCTTGTGTAATATCAGAGCCTGAGTTGCCAAACAATATTGTTTCAAAGGGTTCAAAGTAACTGGCAAATCCATTCAGAGTAGAGTGACTGTGTGTATTGAGTGCAGCTCCAAACTAAAATAGCCAGTTGTGCTTTATGAAGATCGCACCGCGGCCACGGTGTCACACAACACCTTTTTAGCCTCGTAATAGGGTGTACATGTGTCATGGTTTGAGCGTCATGAGTGGCCATGAGTGCACCCATTCATTTTGTTTTCTTTGGACAGTGGTGACATTTAGTACCAGACTTTCTGCAGCATACGTTTCAGAAAACAGTGTATGTATTTGGCTTTTCATTCAATGGCAAATTACTTTTTGTTTTTTTTAATAAATGTATTAAAATCACCTGAAATTGTATTTTTATTTCAGCTAAAAAGTATCCTTTCAGTAATTTTCCTGAATAAATTGTACATTTCTTGAGACATGCTGCAGCAATCTGCTTTCATCTGACGTTTTACATCATGTTGTGTCTCAGTGAGGCTGATTTCCTGAAAAGTCCTGTAATGTAAAAATGCAGTTGGACGGTTATGCTTCTGGTTTTTTTTTGTCCTTTTGAAGAGTCTTGAAAACAGAATCAGACACTGATTTACTTGTTGAAAATTAGTGTTGTTTGGATGTTTTTTGCCTTAAATTTGTTGCTCGAAATTGGTTCCTGGTCCGTTGTTTGTTTGAGTTTTGGATACATTGAGATTAACACAATCATACGATGCATAATCCTGGCTACTTAGAGAAAACACAACCCCGGTATGCTGCAGTGCATCGTTCAGCATGTATAATATGTTTGTGATTCATTGTATCATTGACAGTGATACTTTGTAAACTAATTCGATATCCCCCCCCCCCCCCAGGTCTCCAAACACTGAGTGAAATGCCTCACTAAAAGTTTCCTCTGAGTGGTTGTGATCCAGCATGTAGCAGAGGTGAACAAGTCCCTTCACGCCTAAGAGCAATCCGACAACGTAAGTCCCCTTCTTTTTAATGCGCTGCTCATCTGTTAGAGATGAATTTCAGGCGGTCTGCGTTGTCATATTTTCTCTGACTTGGTCCCTCCCAAATGCACTGAGTGAAGATTTGACCCGGGGTTACATTCATGCAATCTGTTGATGCCACCCAGGAGCTGACGAATGGCTTTGACTGACCATCTGACGGGCTGAGAGGCACTTTTGGAAGTCGCCTCTTTTTTAAGCCACTAGTCTTTGAACAATAAACTGCTTCTCCCCGGTTGAGTCCCCTCATTATGTTTGACCATCCATCAAGCCGCCGCTGACTCACCTGAAATACCGCCCTGCCACTACAGCTGACCTCAGCAACCACCCCAGAAACATCCGTTAAGTGACCTCTGCCACAGTCACGCTGTATTTTATGTTGCGCAGGTGATAAAAGGTAATTCTCTGTGTTCACCTCCGGCCTATACGCAAGGTTAATGACAAATCTGTCCGCCGTGGCTTGAGGGTCAGTCAGCCAATGAGGCCTCTGGAGCCTCTTTTGACTTCACAATCGAACAAGCAGTGGCTGCTTAAAAACACCCTCAGGCACTCGTTTCTTTTCTCATTTTTATTTTTTTTCACCCCCTCTGTCTTTATCCCTCTGTGCAGCCACATCAGTTAAGCAAGTAATACTGTAGCTTCATTCTCTTAAGCTGCTTATCTCTTTTGACAGCACAGTCAGGCACTGTTAATCTAGTCTTTTGTCTGGGGTTGGCCAGATTCCTCCCCAGGAAGGTCGTTAGGTAAACATGGGCTCTGGAACCTGTCCAGGCGTGGGCAAAGTGAGACCTGGGAGGAGAGAGCCAGCTCCAACTTGATTCCCACCCTGCCCATTATTGACAAAACACAAAGGTTCAGGGTTCCTGTGAGACCAAAAGACACTGTGTACCTAGATATTGATTCACTGACATATTCAGTGTGTGCTGCAGACGAACAAACAGACTAACTAAAGAAAATTGAATATCTTTGGCTTTTGGACTGTTGGACCTCACCTTGGGGTCTTTCTGACATTTTTATAGAGAACACCACTCAGTCGATTATCTGAGAAAATAATTACATTCATCGATAATGAAAGGAATTGTTAGTTGCAGCCCTAACGGATTGTTAAAAGTATTTGTCATTACTTAAGTTACAAATCAAATAAATGACTGATTTTTTAGTGAAAAAAAACAGCTGCAAGTGCAAAATATACCTTATATTATTTCAGTTTTGTAAAGTGTTTCTATCATGTTTTTACTCAGCAAAAAAGTTTCTAATTCGTGCACCTTTTGGAAATTAATACTGTTTTTGCAGGCTGTTTTATAGTAACACATTCAAATAAACATCTACAATCCAAGGCAAAAAACGTGTTAAAATATTACTAAACTCTGACCATAAGTTTAGGTAACACCTGACTTTCGTCAAAAGTAAGGCTACAACACATAACCTTATCATGCAAGTGCTTCAACAGCTTTTCCCAAACAGCTGAAGTTTTCGAGCTGGGCCTCCTGATGAACCACAACACTGGTCTGCACCAGTCAAATGTAGTCCAAGGACAAACACGGGAGGCACATCAGGCCAAACTCAGTGTCAGGAAAGCAGCCAAAACTCCCTCTATTTTCACTCCTGATTACTGGCTTGGTATGAAAAGCAGATCGAGTGAAATGTTATGACGAACTGTGAAGTGGGAGTCTGAGTGGGAAGCTTCATTGTGTGATGAATGGACAACGCGATGTTGCATGGCCATTGGTCAGTGCTGCTTTTTCACCTCTTTCTGTCTTCACCTCCCTCCCCCCCCGTCCCATCCCTTTTCTTGCGCTCTCTTCTTTTGAGACCTCATGCTTGGCCCTCTGTCCAGCTGCCGCCTGCCACCAGAGAGCCAGCCAACCTCAGGCCCACACAGCCGACCCCGGCAGATGTCCCAGAGTGGACACTGGGGTGGTGGGGGGGCACGGGGGGCAGAGCAGGCAGAGTGACACACCGGACAGAAGGAGAAAGAGCCAAAAAAAAGAGAAGAAAAAGCCATTGGCCTTGGCCATTATGTTTGGGCTGACATAGAGAAACTGTGTGTGATTGCACGTATACATATGTTGAGTGCATGTGTGTGTTATTATCCATCGTAACTTCTCTTATTATTTGCAGGAGCCTCTGGTGAACCAGACACATTCATCCCAGGACATAACATCGTACAGTACACTTACATATAGGGCTGCAACTAAAGATAATTTTCTTTTATTGATCGATAAATAGTTTGGTCCACAAAATGTCATAGTGCAAAATTCCCCTCACAATATCCCAGAGCTCAATGTGACATATTTCAATTGCGGCTGAAGCACTGGTTTATATATGATTTTAATTAGAAAGCCAACTGACGTGCACTGACCTGACCCTCTGAAGGATACAGCTGTGTTCCATTTGAAAACATTTGTGTTAGACTCCTGCTGCTGGTTCGTCATCTCTGCCGACCTCGCTCTCCTTATGTAAGGAAATAACCGATGAATAGAGATGAACACGGCCCCAATAACTCTGCATTTTTCTCATCATCCTGCTCCTCATTGCTCTCGCAGATAATGGGGAATTCATATGCCGGGCAACTGAAATCTGCTCGATTTGAAGAGGCTCTCCACAACTCTATTGAGGCGTCGCTGCGCTCCAGCAGTGGAGATCCGCAGCCTATCTTCACGCAGCTCTACCTTGAGCCAGAGCCGTATCCAGGTAACGTGGAAGGTAGGAAACGCACAGGTCTGCCATGTCCACTGCACTTAAGATTTTCTTGTTGTGCACCTCTGGTCTACATTTGAAAATACATACCTGAGTAAGGGCTGTACTCGTACTGAGTCAAAGCTGTGGTCGTATTTTTTGTTTGTCATTATGTTGGGTCCGTTTCCTAATCATTTCTAAGGAAGTTTACTAAAAAGAACTGTTATTTGGAATTAATTATAAGGGAAATAAGACTTTCCTTAAAGAAAGAGCCCAATTTAAATAGCATAACGTATGTATTGTTAGTACTTAAGTTTTCATTCATGTTAAACTGTATGCATATCTTGTTAGATTTTGACCTTGTTGATTAAAAGACTCTCTAGGTTATTGTTAAATGATTCGCTTTATCAGTAGTTTTTAGTAGACAATTATGTGGAATTTGCCTGTGAAATACAGTCTTACTCATAATTCTAATCCAGCTCTAGTGAAAATAACCCAATTTCAAATGTCCATCAGACATAAAGCCGAAAGCCGACCTCCACGGCGGGGAGCCGCCAGGCAACGAGCTCATGAACGGCCACTCTTCCAACGATCCGGAAGAGCTGGAAGAGGACGATGACTCAGACAGCAGCAGCCCTCCACTTCCCTACCTACAGGCCCCTGCACCCGACGGCTGCTGCACACTGGACGGTAACCCCAAAAAGGCCTTGATTTGGATTGTAAAAAACACACAACACGTGTATGTTAAATCACAAAAACCTTTTACTGAGAATCAAATACAAAAATCAAGCTTGTCGATAAAGATGATAGAATCATAGAAGATGGGATTTCTACATCGCTCAATCCAATCTACCCTAAAGTCAGACTTTATTCCATCAAATGTCACATCTGTTTCACTGTCAACATCTCTCCTCTTCAGGCTTCTGTCAGGCCGGCAAGGACCTCCGCCTGGTATCCATAGCAACAGAGCCCATCGAAGCCCCAGCGGGCTTCGAGCTGGTCGGTGCCAAGTCCCCCAGCGTCCCCGAGCACATCCTGGTGTGTGCCGTGGACCGCCGCTTTTTGCCCGACGAGAATGGGAAAAATGCACTTTTAGGTCAGTCGCCCCCTTCCCCCCCCCCCCCCCCTGGTCTGAGATCAGAGTGAAGGAGACAGCTGGCTATCAGCACCATTTTAGGTTCTAAAATGGTGCTGAATGATTTAGGTTAGAATGAATATGCTTTATTGTTTACTGGACTGAAATATTTGTAAATAAGGCTGCGAGACTCCTTAATTCATCCTCCACCCGCAACATACAATATAATAAAAACATTTTTGGTGTTTTTGTGTTTTCCTTATTCAGCAAAATTGGATTACAAACTGCATCTTGTTGCACAACCGTGTTGTTCAAGGAAAATAAATAACCGTGTCACCTTTTTTACTTGCAGGTTTTTCAGGAAACTGTGTGGGATGTGGGGAAAAGGGCTTTAGATACTTCACTGAGTTTTCGAACCACATCAACCTGAAGTTATCCACCCAGCCCAAGAAGCAGAAGCACTTAAAATACTACCTGGTGAAGAATTCTCAGGGTGCTCTGTGCAAAGGACCCCTCATCTGTTGGAAAGGTAAAAAAAAACAACAACAACCAGCTTTTCAATTCTGCATTTTATCACTTCATTTCATTCTCTGTTGATGTGCTGGTACGTTTTGATCGTCACAGTTTCGGTCGTTCCTCTCTGTTCCTCCTCAGACTGTAAAAGCCGCCAGATCTCCAGCAGCGCGTCGACGTCCAAACCCAGCTCGTCCTCCTCTCTCAGCAGCAAAGAAAACGGAGGCGCCAGTGGACACAGCTCCTCGACCTTCTCCTTCTCAGGTGAGACTCTACGCAGCACAATGAATCGTAAAATTCAACAAACCCCCTTCAGGTGTACATGGATTCACGTCTGTGCAATATGATTATAATAGCATCATATAAAAAAACTGACTAAAGTTACGTAGATTTTACTGCCTCCTTTCCTCCCTAAAATGACAGTCCGAAATGTATATATCTCACCAAAAAGAGTTATTGCGTTGCTTTGTTTATGCTGATGATGTTGTTGCCATAGAAACAGATGGGGATGGCTAAACCCTGACATGTGTTAGGTGAGCGTGGTCCGACTCTTGAACCACTACACTCCACTCTGCCGTTTGCGGGTGATTTGGTGACAAAGAGGCTCCAGTTGGTTGTTGTTTCATCTCATTTTGTAGCTCTGCTGGATATTCTGGGAGCATACTGGTATTTCATCAACAGTAAATAACATTTTCACTACATTTTCTTATTGCTGTTGCTATTAGCAGTGGTCGTTGCAGTGTCTATTATCAGTTGCCGACGTCACGGCGTAATGTTTTTAAATTAAACAGTGTAATTAAATAAAGGTTTGAATGATTTCAGGTAAACCAGCAGCTTCATATCACATGACGGCGAGACAGATTCTGCTTCTCTACAAGGAGGTGTTTGTTTTTCTCTCTGACCTCTCACAACAGGAGCGCCTGTTCCCTCTTTAATTGAAAGAAAACCCCAACAGCTCCTGGGCTTATGGTATTGATTAGACCCTGTCAGCAGAGATCTCACGCATTAATGTGTCAGACAGCTGAAGCTGTGGGGGCCCATCGTTGGCGTAGCCTGAAATCCCCTGACTGCGACCTGCGACACTTAGCAAGCCAAGAGCTTAAACGCAGTAACATTCTCCTCCTCCGCTCCCACTGACTGTTCATCCTGGAATGATTGATGAAAATGGAGAGCTATGGTGTGTTTGTATTGTGCAGTGGACGTTGGATGCGGACACAGAAGAGTCTGTGTGAGTAGAAGCATGAAGGCCAAAGGCAACCAAATGACCAAACAGGGGAAAGGTGGGTGTGAAGGCTGCAGGGAGATGGTGAGTGTTATATGTATTTTAAAGTCCATTTTGTTTTTACTTCCAGATTCTCCACCCACCAGAACGACACAAGTGTCCTCTGTCTTTTTCGGGAGTCAGGACCTCGGCAGAGACTGCAGTTTCCTCAAACCTCTGTCCTCCACATCTGGAACCAAGACTCTACCAATAGGTGAGGCTCTTTTCAAGTACATGTCATGCCAATGTATTTCCCCTCTGCATTATGCTTTACTTTTTGCTGTATTATTAATCTTCCCAGACAGATGATACAAGAGATACACTCATTTTACACATTTTCACACACTAGTCCTAATTGCATCCAGGCTTTGACAGAGGCATTTGCAAGGATTTAGATGTTGACAAGGCTTTGCCTTTATGTGTGTGCGACACTTAAATGGCCTTATTGTACTTGTGCTGAAAAGGGTTGCTCAGCTACGTGGTTCAGCATAAGGCGGACGGAGCGGTGGCTGACCATGGAGCCAAGATCAACCTCTGCTTTGGCCTGTTTGGATAAATACACCCACACAAATGTGACATGTACACACACAAACAGATGCATGTGTATGCACACCAATCAATACTGAGGGGGGTAATGCTGTAATGACTTTTTAAGGCTTTGCTATCCATTAGCGCTTACAAGGCTGTGCTATTGACAAGCAAAGGCTACACACACCGATCAATGTTTTAGTGTATTGCAAACACAGTGAATATGAGATTGTAAAATGTCCAATCCGGTCGTTGGCAATGCGTTCATGTAAAGGAAATCAGTAAGTCACTGTTAGTCCTGACTCATTTTTATGTATTGCGATAAATATTATTTATGTTTATATCTCAACAACTATTAGATAGATTAGATAGATTTTTACAGACATTCATGGTGCCCAGAGGATGAATCCCAATTACGTTGTTGATCTATTGACTTTTCCTTTAACGCAATCAAAATTTAAATGTCTCCTTTGTTTTTTGACAAAATATGCAAAACTAATTAAATTTGCATCAGCCTGTACTCTACTTTGTGTTTTGTCCTCATTAGCAAATGTTACTAAGATTTGTTTCCATAATCATTAAACACCAAATATATTGAAGTGTAAAGTCTCAACTATCTCCAGTGTTTTTATGTGAATGCGTGCTGTCTCTAGTCCCCACAGCTCTGAGGGTGAACGGGCCGATGAATTGCCTGGGTGACGGGCGTCCTCCCTTACTGAGCCCCTCCCAGGTCTCCTTAGGGCCTCAAGGTCCGGCGTATCGCACTGCTGACTTAGGAGACAGTCCTGGTAAGTCCTTTTTTCTCCTGACAACATTCCTCATCATTTATTCTGTTTTCGTTTTATTCTCTGTTTTTACGTTGTTCTCTGTCTGTTTTGGATGTTCAGCATCCTCTGCCATGAACTCGGGTCCTCCGAAGAAGCGCCACCGGAGCTGGCATCCCAACTCGCTGGTACCCGTCCCACCGACGGCCGTCCCCGTTCCGGCCATCCGTCCGATAGTTTGCTCTCCGGGTCAGTTTTTGAACCCAATGTGGACGGCTCTTTGAGCTGTAATGGGTTGAGTCAGAGTCGGTCAGATAAAGTGACCCTCATGTGTCTTTTTTTCGCTCGATTCACTGTGCATGCATGTGTGTGTACGTGTGTTTTTCTGTTCCTGTTGGAGCATAAGATGTGTTGTTTATAACCCCCACCCCCCTTCCTCTACCTCTGGTTTGGGGATGAGTATGCCTCATCCTCTACGTTCTCTGGTTGTTAGGGATGATTCATCCAGTATCTCCATGGAGATGGAGATGGAGAGTTTGTTGCAGAAATGGTTAAAATGATTGAGGAAGATTTCTGCCACATCATGTAATTGGGGTTATTTTTACAAGCATCATTTCAGCTAAATTGTCTGTCCTGATTTTATTTCTTTCATTGAAAACATTTCTGTGACAGCACAACAGCCACAAATATTACAGCTGTGTTCCCTTCTGGATAATTTAAAAGACTAATATGTTAAAACTCAACCTACGCCGCTATTTAGCTCTAAGTGGTTGATCCTAGTATGGACGTGTTATTCCATTATTTCCCTCAAGGTGCTGTATTAGGAATGTCCTCTCCTCAGCCTCCGGTAGCAGGAGTCATTCAGCCCCAACCTGTCACCGCTGGAGAGACGGTCATCGTCCCCGACAATCTGCTCAACTCCTCAGGAGTTCGCCCTGTCATCCTCATCGGTACGCGCTTTATTTCAGCCATCTGCTTTTTCCTAATACTTCAATTAAATATCCTGCAAGGCACATCAAAGCAATGTGTAGCAATGTCAGAAAAACTGAATCAGAGCCACTAAGTACGAAGTAAAATGTTCAATTATCGGCGTAGTGATTATCAGGAAGTGAAGCGCCAATAAAGACTTTTCAGAAATGAACTATGAGTTCACTTTTTCAAACGCTAGATGTCCCTCATCATAACAATGTGCGATACAACTTATTTTAATGTTTCAACTGTAAAAGTTGGTTGAATGCAAATCAAGTGAAAAGATGTTTAAAGTGAGCTCAGGTAGCTTTACCCACCCTACCCACCCCTTTGTTGCATATATTTTTAATATACCGTATATTGCATTGCAATCTATAAATTTGGTCCCCATTTTTTTATTAGTTTGCCATTTCCTTGTATTGAAATATTAAGTGTCTATACAAGCTTATAATGACTAGTTGTTATTTGTCGTTGTCCAGTGTTTCTCTGTTTCTGTGTGTTCTATAGGTTTCCGTTTTGTCTAATGATAACTTGTCCTTTCAGGGCATGGCACTTTACCTTATTTCTATGGGAATGTTGGGGACATAGTGGTGAGCCCCCTCCTGGTCAGCTGCTACAAGAGTAGCCAGCTGACGGAGAAGACCCTGGAGACGTTGGGCCTCAACAGCAGCCAGCTTCTCTGTGTGGAGACGATGATTCTGCTCACTTTACAGTATCTCGCACGTTTAGGTAAGCAACAAAACACAAACCCACACACACACACACACACGCTAAGAAGCCTTGCAGTCGCTGGTATTTTTACTGACATGTTGCGTTTTGGCTGCTGTCGAACACAACGTGGGGGGGGGGTGGTTGTGGGGTGGATGACCGGGAGGTGCTTAGTGTCTCATTTACACAGAAACATCGCTGGCAAAATTCAAATCTAACTTTGTAACATGCACGCTTCTATATCAGTAGCTCGGTCTTTTCACGTATGAATCGTTCTTGCAGGCTTGGTGCAGATTCCTCTGAGGGAGGAGCTGGAGCAGATTGTTTTGAAGGCTATGCTGTGCTGCCCCAGGGGTCCTGCCATCTCCCCGTCTCAGCTGCCCTGGTTGGCTCGGCTGGAAGCCAGCGTCTCAGGGGGCAGTGTCCAGGTCGTCGTTACCCACAACTCTTTGGGAGAGGGCATCTCGGAGTCACTTCGATCTCTGAGCGAGGGCCCTCACCACCAGAAGTGCCTGCCCACCTATGTAGTCATTATATGTGCCAATAAAATGAGCGGCAACGAGTTCTGTGTGCTGGTTTTGGGTGAGTGTCTTCACCTGGTTGCTCCATTTGTGCTTTTTGACATCATTTAACTTGGTTGGTCCGTGCACAGTTTGTATGTTAAAGTTATAATCGTATTGATCTGATTTTAACTTGTGCGTTGGACACAGGAAAATACCAAGCGCGGGCCTTAGCTGAAGGCATGCTGACAACCAATGAGTTTCTCAAGGAGATCAGCTACGAACTCATCACGGGGAAAGTCAGCATCTTAGCGTCTCACTTCAAAACCACGTCACTGGGTGAGTGCTGCGATGAGGGAGGCGTTCCAAGAGATTGTAAAAAAACACAACGACTTCAGATCAACTGAATGTTTCCTGAAGCGTTTCATCATTACATTTTTCTGGAGCAAAATATTACACTTAAAGCCAATGCTCTGACTGTGGCAAGTGTTTTTTAGGCTATGATCCACTAACTAAAGTGATCACAAGACAAGTTTGACACGAGGATGCAGAATAAATATCAAAGACAACAATAGAACACCGTAACACATATCAGTCCAATGGGATTCATATGGTAAATCTGTATCTGGGTGTTTTACATTGACTGTGCTGCCTATCAAAGAGCATATTGTAGCAGCTTGAATGCCTGGCTGTGAGTCTTTGTGTGACTATGGCGACTGGTTGTTTTTAGGAGACAATCTGGACAAGCAGCTGGTGCGATACCAGCGCAGATGGAAGGGACAGGTCATCCAGCCCTTCCAGGGCGATGTCACTGACCACATCCACTCCCAGGAAGCCGCCAGCATGTCACCACCCTCGGAGAGAGGTTGGACTGCCCTCTATCGCACTCGCTGAAGTTCTTTCCCGAGCTAAAAACAATCATTATGGCACTCTACATAGACTGTAATCCTTATGTTTAATCTGCAGCAAATGGCCATTTTATATCTGTGAACAAATGTATATATATTTTTGGCAATATTTGTCATTGGTAGCAATATTCTCTACATTTAAAATGTCTGTTTTACTTGTTCTTTTTTTTGTTCCACATTAAGTTGACAGCGACATTGATACATACACCTCTTTGTTTTCCTGTAGCAGAGCTTTTAAGCAAGCTCTTCCAGATCTATCCCACCCAGCTGAGCGTGGCTCGGAGCTTGCTCTCTCAAGTCTGCTCCATCGCTGACTCGGGAACTCAGAACCTCGACTTGGGGCGTTTTTGTAAAGTGGACTTTCTCATTCTGGTGCCTCCATCTCACATTCTGGTACACCAGACGGCACAGCGCATCCGGCAATCAGGTTTGTGTTCAGCGTGATAAAGATTCAAGGATGACTTCTCCACGTGTATGTGTTTAGATGCCCCGAGTGGACAGAGTCATGGAACTTTACAACAACCAGATAAAATGAACTATGTTTTTTTCAGAGCGAAAAGCTGTGAATCGGTCAAAATGCAACTGGAGCACAGAAGGAGGGTTGAACATTAATGTCTTGTTGGTTGTGCTCAGGAGTGCTTGTCGACTTGGGAATCGAAGACGTCTGCTCAGCCCACCAGAAATCAGACAAATACGTGGTGCGTCTGGACGGCGAGGTTCACGCCAAGATGGAAGCCTTCATGAGGAAAGTCAAGCAGAACCCCTACACCCTGTTTGTCCTCATTCACGACAACTCACACGTGGACCTCACAAGGTAAGACGACTCGGCGGACACTATTTTACTCTGTTGATAGTCTAAAGATGTGTAAAAAAGACGAGTTGTTATGGCTGCAAATATAGCCTTGTCCTTTGCATGCACTGTTTCAAGTGGAGAGGAGGAGAAAGTGACAACAAATACAGCACTAGTATCTTTAACTTTGCATTTTGGTCAAAAGCTGGCCAATCATTTTAAGGTTTCTTTTTTTCTTTTAGATATATTTAGATTTTAATGATGATTTTAATAATTTTTTAGAGTTTTATTTATGTATCATACTTTTTTAATATGCTGCATCTTTGCTCAATGTTGTATCACTTTTAAACTATTAAAAAAAATCTTTGTAAACTTTATTTTGAAAGTGCTGTATAAATACAGTTTTTTATTGTTAATATATTGGGTTCAAATGACATTTGATCCCCATTGTTTGCTGGATTTTGTTAATTTAGATTTAGATTAGTTTGACACCATTCTGTTCAGCCAAGATCTTATTCCAAGTAAACTACTGCCGTCACTGCCAGAAGCTAAAAAAGATCCCTTCCTGTTTTCCAGAGGGGTTTTCCTGGGATATGACCTTCAACACACTGGGCAGTTAGCGCAGCAAATGTAAAAGCCTTCGTGAGCCATGCTCCTAATCGGGTTGTCGTTTGCATCCAACTTGAATTTTATGAAATTAGAATATCCCTCACAGGTTTCAAACCCTTTGATCTACTCCCTCTCCAGTGCTCTGTCAGGCTCCGTGTGCCACGGCGAGCTGCAGGGTTTGGCCGACCGGGTGGTCAACTGCCAGGAAGTCCTCGATGCCATGAACCTCCTGGTCCTGCAGGTCAGCTGCTTCCCGTACACACTGCAGACCCACCAGTCCCGCATCAGCATCCATAACGAAGTTCACTGGCCCTCCGTCGAAAGTCTGGTGAGTCTTAATTTAACAGCCCAAATGCTCTGAAGGTATGAGAAAAGTCATGCAAGCTTTTGTCTAATATTGCATCTTGTGGATATTTTTGACATATGAGCTATTTCATTTATTTTGCAAATTAAAAATTGCAGCGTTATGGCAGCATGCTGTGGTTTAGTGACTCCACCTGGTGGACCTAAGGTGAACTTACACTAACTTACATTACGAGAGGTAACTTGACCCTGATTGACTTATGCGATATTTAATGAGATATTTTTTTGGGGGGCATTTTTGCAGTAATTTGACAGTTTGCTTTAAATTGATGGTACTTCCATTGGGCTTCTCCAAGATATAATTTTTAAGGCTTTTCTTCTGCTCATGATTCATCTGCTCACACCATAACTGTAAGCTGCTATTGAGTCTTCAAACTGACATTTGGTCTGGTTTGAGGTCATTGTTTGTTCGGTTGTAATTCTGTTTACATTGACTGTAGTAGAAAGTGGTCTGGGTCAGTCCTAATAATATTTGCAACAAAAATCGAATTCATATTTTTAATATTTTCATTTGTTCTGAAGTTTCAGAGCAGAGGTGATAATGTTGCAGTACTTAGTCTATCATTATATGGAGCTGAATTAACAGAAACACTGTATAATGTTGAAGTTTTGTCTAAATGACGTTATTTAAAGCATTGGCTCTCAAACCGATTAAACTACAATGTGTTGCACAAAATTAGATTCACTTTTCAGACATTCCTCTAACTTTTTTCCTGTGAATTACTGCATATTATTCAGGCCTGTAGAAGATTACTCAAATACTTACTCATGAGCCATAGACATGTGCGACTGTTGATGATGGTTCACAAATGCACATTGCCACATTTTTAAGGGGACATACCACTAATTTTAGACGACAAATAATAAGGAAGTAAATGCACTCAGTTAGCTTTCAGATCAAGCATCATGCAATGAGAGAAGACTCATTAACCGCTCAGTAAACCAGCTCTGCTTTTCCCTCTAGTGAATGTGTAAGTGGAACAAAAATGTATTGAGAGGATGACATGTTCTGACTATACTATAATTGTCCTCCAGCAGGGGGAGCAGCCTCCTAACGAGTTGCTCTACTTTGGCCTGAGGGACTACAGCAGCTCCCTGCAGTGGGGTGTGGCCAGCCCCATTCTGCGTTGTGATGATGCGTTTGAGAAGATGGTCCACACGTTGCTGGAAAGGTCAGTGCCGTGTCATCACTGAGAAATCATCAACATAGATTAACATATTGTCATCCAATATAAAGTCTGACAGATGTGTGTTTTCTATTGGTTTGAATTGGCGCAAAGAAGAAGAAGAAACACAAACCTGTCTAAATGGTGCCTGTGTTGATAAAATACGTTATCATCAGCAATGTAGCTCAAACTTGTGTGTTTGTGTCCCAGACATCCACACCTGCACAGCATGGTGATCCGGAGCTACCTGCTGATTCAGCAGTACACTGAGGCCATGATGGCCTTGACCTCTTCCCCGTCCCTGAGAGACCACATAACCCCAGAGACCTTGGCCATGGTGGAGGACCTGATCAACGCCCCGAGCAGAGAGGGCTCCCAGGGCCGGGGCCACATGCTGCTAGTTCGGGTCCCCTCGCTGCAGCTGGCGATGCTGGCCCGGGAGCGACTAGAGGACGTGAGGGACAAACTGGGGCTCCAGTTGTGCTTCGCAGTGCTGCTGGGAAGCCCGGCCACCGAGCTCAACCTACAGAAGAACTTTACCAACCGCCTCAAGGTGAGAATACTATCAGTCATTTCTTTTTTATCATGCTTTCTACTAAACATTTGAATAACATGTATACAAAGTTACTGTGGTTAGTTTTCAAGCAAGATGTGTTGAGGAAATCAGATCCACGAGTGAAATACTCAAGTTCATCAGTGTTTCATTAGATATCTGAATGAACCTGGGTTTTTGCAAGGAGATCTGAAGTAATTATCAGCGAATTGACTTAATTCTCAGTATTCACTCATCTCATTTTCTCAGACTTTTCCCTTAGATTATTGAGATTAATCTCAAACCTCATTTAAACCACCGAAACCCTGCCAGCGAATGTTTTAAGACTTCTAATCGTATCTCCTTTGTACAGTGTGGCTTCTTCACCTTTTACATAAGGGACCTGTGGACTACATTAAAATGAGGCATTTAGAAAAAATGTTTTATTTTGTTAAAAGAACGTGTCTAAATCCAGTATCCAACCCAACATGCATGCTTGGTCTGGTTCTAAATGATGCATTCATAACCAAACAGTAAACGTGTTGTGTTTTGCTTTAGGCGTGGAGAGGCTGTGAAAATGAAGACTGGGTGCCACACACGTATGAGGATCTGGAAGGCCTGCCCTGCATCGTCATCCTTACAGGGAAGGACCCTCTTGGAGAAACTTTCCCCAGGTAAACTCATACACACAATACCCTGTCACTCCTAAAACGTGATAGTCAGTCGTGGAAAGTGTAGTACGTTCCCTTTTAGCTCATCTATAATCCCTCTTGGCGTGCTGTTGCCTTGACTTTTTTTGACATAGAAACGCATTCAATGAAAATTAAAAACCAAATATAGGACCATGTCTCAGCAAATATCCTCCTTCGCACTTTTACTCTTCTAGGTCTCTGAAATACAGCGACCTGCGTCTGATAGACTCCAGCTACCTGACTCGTACGGCCCTGGAGCAGGAGGTGGGTCTGGCCTGCACCCACGTGTCCATGGGGGTGGTCCACGAACCCAAGAAGGCCATGGCCCCCCGGGAATCAGACGGAGAGAAGGCCACCACCAGCTTGAACGATGGAGACGAGCTGGAGAGGCCTCAGAGCAACGGCAGCGCTGCAACCAGAACCTCTGGTGAGTCCCCGAACTCAGTGAGATACTGAGTCTTTACTCCAGATGTTGGCTTTAAGTAATATCTTTAACGGTATTAGTATTTATCTTTTTACTCTCTTTGTGTCACTCAGGCTCTTTGGCAGAGAACGGTGTCAGCTCATCGGACATTGCCGACTCTTTCCAGAGGCCCTCCACCTCCACCTGCCCACCCGAAGGTGCCATCACCTCAGACATGGCCACAGGGACGCAGGGCTTCAAGCAGGAGTGCGATTCCCTAGAAAGCCAGCTCTCCTCCAACCCCTCTAAAGCCTCCAAGGCCCCTCCCTCTCTTTACTCCAGTTCCTCCTCTTCCTCCCCATCGTCCTCCTCCACGCAGAGGCCCAGCCAGTCCACACAGTGCGTTCGAGAGCCTAAGCCCACTCGGGTGTCACCGCGGACGGTAATCATGTCGCGGGCGGCATACAGCCTGCTGGCGGGGGAGTCGGGGAGTCAGCTGAGCTCCTTCTCCCTGCTGCCTCATGCAGACGTGGCCTGGAGCAGCCCGCTGAGGCCCCTCGTCACTCACAACCTGCAGGGGGAAGAGCGGAGCATGTACTACCGCGAGTGGACCATCGCCAGGCAGCATCACGCCGATTACGAAGCTCCATCTGTGCCACATCCAAGACGCATGCTACTCAGTGGACCCCCACAGGTAACAGCACACAAGTACTGCTCCCCCTATAGGCGCAAATAAGTATATTAGATTTATTTATTTATGCATCTGGATTTAAGTGTCAGTGTAACAGTACATGGATGATTTTGTTCTTTGTCCTTGATTAGGTGGGAAAAACTGGTGCCTATCTGCAGTTTCTTCGCATCCTGTTTCGAATGCTCATCAGACTGTTGGAAGTAGATGTGTATGATGAGGAAGAGGAGGAGGAAGAAGGTGAAGACCATTGCTGACTCATTTATCCTGACCTCACATGGTGTTAAACACACCATAGATATGATGAGGAACTAAATGTCAAGTTGTTGTTTATTTTTTCATTCACATCTTTTCATGTTCTTTTCATCTCCAGAGACTTCAGAGGTTACAACTCTCGTAAAAACCCAGCTGCCTGACATTGAGGAAGTGCGGAAGCTGCCCTTTGACCCCTACCCCCGGGACCCTAAGTTCAGGAAGGCCAGCCCTGTTTACACTGACAAGAGGTCAAAGTGCTTAAAAGGTCAGCAGATATATGCAAACACACGGCAGAGGCAGTCTCTGAATTAGTCATTTAATCTGCCATTGTAAAAACAACATTGGTTTTAATTCAATATAACATCAACAAAAAATGTTCTCTCAAAGTATATGTGTGAGCATGTTTGATTTTTGCGATCTGCAGATTTTAAGCAAGAAGGCAAGAGCCAAACGCCAGACAAACGAGTGACCAAGTCCATACGTCTGAGCAGGTTTGCTGCCCACAATGCCTTTCATCACTGTGAACAGTGTCACCACTACTGTGAAGCAGGCCCCGCCACGCAGGTGAGTGCACCCACTTCGCCTTCCTCAACATCAAACATCCAAGAGACTCGTTTGGGCTTGAGTATCATTGCTGATTTATAGTTGCACGTGCAGATATCCAAACCTGTCAAAATACTGTGACAGGTTTGTATATCTGTTTTTTACTGTCCGCAGTCATGCTTAATGGTGATCCTTCTGTGTTAATAATGCATGTGTGTGTGTGTGCATTTGTGGGTTGTAGCTGTCGGAGTGCACCTTCCATGCTTTCACCTTCTGCTCATCCATGCTGGGGGAGGAGGTCCAGCTCCAGTTTGTCATTCCCAAAGCCAAGGAGCAGCACTTTGTTTTCAGTCAGCAGGGCAGCCACTTGGAAAGCATGCGCCTGCCTCTGGTCTCCACCAAGGTGAGTTGACTCTACATATGTGGGAGTATTTGTGTGTGCGTGTGTGTGTGTGTGTGTGTCTGTAGGTATGTGCTGTATATTTCTGGAGAGGGTTAAATTGCTCATCTCTTCCTGCTAAAGCTTTAAACTTTACCCATTTTGATTTCAATCTGCTTTCCTGTCTCTCTGTCTGTCTCTAGGACCCAGATCGGTTGAAGAGTCCGATCTTCACCCCGACTACAGGACGCCAAGAGCACGGCCTGCTCAACATTTACCATGCCATGGAGGGCGCCACTCATCTGCACATCCTGGTGGTCAAGCAGTTTGAGATGCCCCTCTACAGAAAGTACTGGCCCAACCACATCTTGCTCGTCCTGCCGGCTGTGTTCAACAACACGGGAGTTGGTGAGCACCATGCCAACTTAATTAAACTGAGATGTCTTCACTGTTGCGCAAAACTTACATTTTTTTTTTATTCCATGTATCAGCAATTTATTTCTGGGCATTATCTAACTTTACTGTAAACAAAATAGCTTTTGTGCTCAATAAAGAAATGCATTTTCTGAACTGTAAGAGTTCACTTGTAAATTTGTAATGCACACACACACACACACACACACACACCATGCAAATTCAATTTGCACTGCTTATTACCTCCTGCAGCTCTGTGTTTAAGTTGAAGGGCACTGTAGGTGTAACAGTTTTGAGAAAGTATATAATAGAAAAATTGACACATATGCTCCTGTCCGTTCAAGGTGCTGCCCGCTTCATGATCAAAGAGCTGTCATATCATAACCTGGAGCTGGAAAGAAACAGACTGGAGGAGCAAGGTGTCAAGAGGCAAGATGTATGGCCTTTCATTGTCATGATGGACGACTCATGCGTGCTGTGGAACACCCACCAGCCAGCAGACAGCAGGTAGTAATTATTTCGGATTTGTAAAGTGTACATAGAAAGTTGCTGAGTTATTAGAGTTATAATTGTTCACCTTAAGCAACTTTTAGCTATTTATTACCCTATTACCAAGGTTGAAAATGTGTATTTTATGATATTTAAAGACCCTAAAGAAAAATACGGAAAAGGTATGTGATTTTTAAACCGCGTTTGCCCCCAAAAAAAACATTCTCATGTGTGCTCTGTCCTCCTTTTTTCTCTATCAGCGAGACATCGGACGGAACCAACGTGTCACTAAAGATGGTGCTGCAGCATATGGAAAACACACCGAAGATCTCCCTGTACGCAATGTGCGGCACGCGCAGGTGGAGCAGCAGCCTGGCTCGCAAGTCTCCCAGCCATCCCTTCAGCCGGTGTCACCTCCATGACTTGGTCATGCTTAATGTGGACCTGACACAGAATGTTCATTATGACCTTAATCGGTAAGTTAGTCGAGGATTGTGTCAATCAGTCCACACGTTTGGCAAGTTGTGCAGCGTCTTAATCCACTGTTTTTGCTATTTTGGTCCCATGTGCAGGTATAGCTGTGAGGAGGTGGACTTTAATTTAAGGGTGAACAGTAGTGGGCTGCTGCTGTGTCGCTTCAACTACTTCAGCCTCATGAAGAAACACATTCCAGTTGGGGGAAACAAAGACTTCCTGGTCAAACCTAAACTCATGGTATGTGTCGCGTTCGTACAAACACAATGCCCATTTGTAAGAGGGGCTTCTGGTGAGTTTATTTTTATGAAACACCATCAAACAAACTGCTTTCTTCTCTCCCCAGGATATGGGAAACCCCACCTCAATCAGCCCGCCACAGTATGTCTGCGCCCCAGATAGCGAGCAGACCCTCCTGGACGCCCCGGCCCAGTTCCTGCTGGAAAGGTTCCTGCAAAGCTGCAGCCACAGACTGTTTCCGAAGGCCGTTCAGAACAGAAGCAACCCAGTTCTGTCCATTGACAGCTACCTCAACATCAGCCCGGAGGTGAGAGCTCCCAGGAGGTTGCAGTTGAAAGCATGAGACGAGACTGTTAGCATCATTCCTTCAGCTTAAATCTGCCGTAAAAACCTCTTTGGGATAGAAGCCAAGTGCAGTTGATCCCCGGACATGCTGGATTTCATATATTTGTACATACTGTACTACTGTTTTGGGAGGAACTGCTGAAGTGTAAACTATGACAAGAATAGGAACAACCTGCTGACTTAGTATCAAACGGTTTTATAAGCCTTAAATTTGTAGAATTTTCTTTAACCAGGGAAACGTGTTGCACGATTTCGCCAGCTGTTTTGCTGAGAACATTTTGACCTACATGCACGCACATGTGCAAACACTGAATGCTGATGTTGCACATTTCCAGTGTAGGCTACATTTGTTGTGCACAACTTCATTATTTGCGTGCCTGGACACATTTCTTGTGTTTGCGTTTTCTCCTGTAATGGAAATAAATCAAGATGCTCGCAATGCAACCTATGCATCTGCTTGTAAAGACGCCTCCGATTGCTCCCCACAGTATTTATTAGTGGTTGTTTCCTTCATTTTGACCCAAAAGATATGCACTTTATGTTTCTTATAGTTTGCTTGAGTGGAATTAACGAAATGTGTTTTATGCGTCATATCTTTGGTCACAGATTTCTGTGTGCTACATCAACTCTCGTCCACACTCCACCAACCTGAACCACCAGGGCCTGCTGTTCAGCGGCCTGCTGCTTTACCTCTGTGACTCCTTTGTCGTCTCCGGACTCCTCAAGAAATTCCGCTTCCTCAAAGGTGGTTATTGCAACTGCTTCTGTTGTTGTCTCTGTTGTTGTATCATCTACTTTATGATAGCTTATACCTTAGGTGGTATGCGACACTAACGTATGTGTCGATGGAGGCGTGCCTGCGTATTTATTCCTGTGTCTTTCTGACCAATAATCATCAACAATAAATGGTAGGAACTTAATGCATGTGAACAGATCATAGCCTGCCTAGCTTTAGTAAGCAGAACAGCCTCTGAGGGACACTAACAGGGCTTTTAGAGGACGACCCGCTCTGATTTATTTTTTTTTTTTACCCTGATTATGTCCACAGGCGCCACTCTCTGCGTGATCTGCCAGGACCGAAGTTCTCTGCGCCAGACCATCGTCCGACTGGAGCTGGAGGACGAGTGGCAGTTCCGCCTGCGGGACGAGTTTCAGACAGCTAACTGCAGCGATGACCGGCCCCTCTACTTTCTGACTGGCCGCCATGTTTGAACCTAAAAAACAGATTTGATTCCAAACCAGCCAGCGGTCACAATTCTCGCCATTCCAATGGAAGGTCAGAGGGGATATGCTGGAGCACTATATCCAAAGTGCCCCACGAGTGGACGCAAGGCCACCTGATATGGCTTTCCTTTCATCTGTACTACCACAGTGCACTACGACTGACTCTGAAGAGGGTCAGTGCGTGTTTTAACTCTTGCTTGTAGCTGGGATTGTCTCCACTTTGCTGTGGGGGAAAACATGGACGCTCTCGGATCAACGATGTGACTATTTGAAGATTGTATTTGTACATACAAATGTACTTTGACTACAGTATGTCCCATTCTGGGCATACGTGTTTATCTCAGGTTTTTAAAGGGAGATCCAAGGGAGGTCGCTTAAAGGAGTAAAGCTTTTTTTTTTTTTTCGTTCACCGTGTATTTTTGATTTGTGTTGTGCACCAAAGACATCCTCAGCCTTTTCCCTTCGCTCTCCTCGTCCCTCCTCACCTGCTCTGCCTCTCAAACTCCACACAGCCTATTGACTATACAAGTCAGCTCACTGTATTAAATAGATATTAACATAGATGTTGACCTGTATTGGATTTCTCAATCATTTAAACTGCAAATGGACTTCTGTCTTGTGCCTCTAAAGATATATATGTGTGGAATCGATAATCCTTCTGACGGGGAGCTGAATGTGGTTTTAGTATCAAAATGACTTGACGCGTGAATCTATCCAAAGACTTTTTCACAACTGAAGAAAAGTACAAGTTGTGTCCCTTCAAGAATGTAGTACGTTAATGTCCTATTAAGGCTTGAATATACAACTATGAAGCAGGTCTGTTGTCTGTAAATGTTAAATGCCAAACAGACGGACGTGGAAGCAAAACTAGTTCAGTTATAAATGTTTTGTATTCAGGCGTTACCCGACTTGAATACTGGGTATTTGAAGCATAATCGCATCATGCTAGTCAATGCTATTTAATAAGCCAGCCCTCTTCACTGCCAAATATCCTGCTGCTGACTACTGTGATTTGAACCTCCTGTTACAATGTTCTGAGGCTGATTGTACATTAATGGTCTTGGCTACCATCCACACATTAACTCACAATCTGCCATATTTTGTCCCCCCCAAAAAAACATAGGGTCAAAAGCAGCTGATCAGATCATTTCATATACTTGAAAGTAGAATGTTTTTATATGTTTCTGCACAGGGTTGTCCAAAGAATATGCCTTTTTAGTGACGTTTCATACAGTCACTGCTCAAGTCTTTAAATTTTTCCGGACCAATGACAATGAAGAAACCATTTAACTGTGAGACGAAGAAATGTTGTGTGTCTGAGTGAAGCAAAATGAAATAATTAGATTTTGGACTACTGTACTGTTTAAAGCTTTGTTTACATTAATAATATATTATATCATCCTATTAACCACTGAGGGTTACTGATGTTTTTTTTAGACTTGTGTAACTTTTGCCAGTATCTTTTGGTCATGATGTCTTTCTTCATTTTACGTGATGTTGCAAAGACGGGAAGAATCTACCTAGATGAGTCCTTAACCAAATGTCTGTATCCCTGCCTGTTCTTGTGTTGTGTTTTTATTGAAAATGAAAATCAGGTCCATTTGGGATTCTTATTTATTTGACAAACATTTTGGACGGATAATCATATTGAGGCGTAATATTTGATTGCACGAGGGCGCGTGTTCTCTTCAAAACCATCCATGAAGGCTTTGCACAAGACCCAGACGAATGATTCTTAGATCTACTGAATGTCACTGGGGGTAGGAAATGTGAACGTGCACTCTACAAGTTACCAGCAGGAAAAACAAATATTTCCCATTGTTAAATGAGCCCCAAAATTTGTCCAAATACAAGACTTGTGATCCAAACTTTAACTTAAACGCCAATGGTCCATAGAAAGTGTCTTTTTTGTTTATAATTTAACACTTAATATGCAACTTGCTCTCACAATCGTCACTGAAATGTGTTTGATAACCATGTGCGGCCCAGTGGTGGCCTTGGTGTCCGGGTGATCTACCTCATGTTTACCGTTGTGGTTGCAGGCTGTGAACGTATGAACGTATTAGAGCCATGCTATTGTTGTTGAAAATGTATGAATGTAATAAAATGACTTCGAAAATCATTCGCTTATTTTTTTCGGGCTTTCTGTTGAGCTTGAGTGTTTATATGTTTCCACCTGTGACAGGAGCACAAATACAGTGAATATGTGTTCACAGAGCACAAAAATATACATTTCACAGAACTGTATTTTGAATTCTAGTAGACATCCTGAAGTTTCCGGATAGCAAGTATGATCCCAATTGTGATTTTTCAATTTCGGAGAAATGTGTATAGAAAGATGCACAAGTCATCTGGAGTCAAACTGATGGAATAGGGCAGCCATAGAAAAACGCATCTTAGGTTTTGACTATTTTGCTCTCTGTAAACGCTTATATAAAGAGAAAATACATGAGATTCTATCAAAGTGTTTTGTTGGACATAAGTATGATGTCTGAGTGACCATTCCATTTGGCCACTAGGTTGCGCTGTAGCAGCATATGACTATTTAGGAATCTGTCTGTTGGTGTGTGTGTGTGTGTGTGTGTGTGTGTGGTGTGTGTGTGTCCTTTGCATATCTCTAGAGGTGGCTCATGAGGCTGACAACCCAGATCCTGCAAGACAAAGAACCAGGGACACCTGATGAAGTGGAGGTGTCATCACAAGATTTATATCTGCAGACTTTATGTCTTATTAGAAAGTCAAATTAAAATATATATATATATATATATATATACACACACACATATATGTATACATATCAGCTGGCAGCTAACTACCCCACACCCAGATCATGGCAAGGTAGTTTTTTTTTCTAATTTATCCCATCCCCCACGATTCAACAACTCAAACATGAATTAAGAACCCTTTAACATCCCAAAGACCCATACGACAAACATGTAGAACCATCCAATAGATAAAATGGTTCTTTAGTAGGGGATGGTTCTTCGTGGAACCACACTGCCTTTTAAAGAACCATTTAGAACCTTTTTTTTTCTGTGCATAGGTGAAGGTAAGATTTACCCTACATTTAGTGAATATCAACTTCATTCACCAAATCAAAACAACAAACATCTCTTTAATTCATCTTGAGGGGCGAAAAAAATGCTTGGAGTTTTTTTTTCTTCTTCAAAATGAACGCAGTCTCCTGCTCTGTCCTCTGTCCTTCATCATAGAGCGACCAAGACCAGCGGAACGGGAGGTCACCTGTAGCGACTGTGGCTTAGTGGAGAGCAGGATCGGTGGTTTGATCTCCGGCTCTGCTAGTTGCATGTCGATGTGTCCTTGGGCTGTCTCTCTCTCTCTCTCTCTCTCTCTCTCTCTCTCTGTCTGTCTGTCTGTTTCTCTGTCTTTCTCTCTCTCTCTCTCTCTCTCTCTCTCTCTCTGTCTCTCTGTCTGTGTCTCTATCTCTGTCTGTCTGTCTGTTTCTCTGTCTTTCTCTCTCTCTCTCTACACGCTGACACACCCACAGGAAATTATATCCACCTCCACCATCTTAACATCCCACTACGCACTGGCCTTTTGTTTTATTCTTTGCTCTATTCATTCAATCCTGAAAAACTGTTATAACCAAATGAGTATGTGTTATACCACAAAACTGTATGCAATAAACATATAAAATAAAGCTACGTTATCTGGTTTTGTATACTGTAGATCACTGTATTAATATCTAGAGATGAGTGTATTGACTATATCGAGATCATTTTGTAAGGTCCAAGAGGGAAATACAGTGAACATGCATTACAATTTAAAAATGGAAAACTTTGATTTACAATTATGAATTTAATAAAATGTATTTTTTTTATTATCATCCTTAAGTTGTGGTACATATTACAGATGGGAAAAACGAAACAATAGTTTTTGCATGATAAAAAATACTTGTGACATGTTAAAATGCTGACACAAATCAACATTATGAGATATGGCAAACTTTTGACTTAATTGGTCAAACTTAAGGTACTTAATTATGAAATATAGCATGTATTATGACATATATATTTTACTTATCTCAGAAAAATCGAACTTATATAGTTAACATATGTCCACATTATTCATTAGTGACTGAATGACTATAGTGCTTAACCCAGTGGTTCTCAAACAAAGGGAAAGACGGTGTAGACATCTTAACGCTGATTGGCCAAGACTCCACACGTCACATCAAAGATGTTTTATTGTGAAGATCACGACATCACCTTTTCTCCTCGTCTCACTCCAATCTGAGAAACGCTGGCTGGCCAGTTGACAAGTTTGCAGGTATGAATAAAGTTCTTCAAATAAAAAAATTCTGCATTTCCCCCTGCGCCCCACCTGCAATACCGCCCCACTAGAGGGGCGCGCCCCACAGTTTGAGAACCACTGCTATAACCTGACCTTACCTGATCTTACCTCCCAAGCCCCGGCTCTGGGATGCAGCAACAGATGTAGCCAACTTTGCCTTCTCCTCCTCCAGCTCTCAAAGAAAGACGTTTCACAAGTTATCCGAGATGATGTGCGGGTGCGGGTGAGGGACCGGATGCGGGACCTGGTACTCTGCTGGAGATTTCTGAAGGAAAAACAGCAATTGAGAACAGGAGAGATTACGAGTGTGAACTTGTTTTATAGGAGACACAGAAAAGATAGTCTCATCTTGTGTATAATATAATAGCTTCACACAACTGCGGTCAAGTCAGCAGACACTTAAATTTTAGTGCGCCTATATGCTGAAATTCACGGTAAACGCATTCAAACGCCACAGATCGGGAGCGAGCGAAGGACTTTGCAAAGTTAGCGGAAAGATTAACGCGAGATAACATCTGGTTTCTTCAGATGAACATCCGGTTTTCAGAATAAGATGCCAACAAACTACACATATTGCATAATGGAAATTAGATTAAATTAATTATATTCACATTAAGTATAAAACATGCTACCTGCATCTCGTGAGTTAAAGGGAAAATACACCTAAATTGTGCGTAAAGTGTCTTCATTCTTTGATTTGAGGGTTGCTAATGAATAATACCTGACTGACAGTCAATTAAGATATTTTACTAAGCAAAAACTCTGAACTGAATTTGTACCTTCAAAAGGCACATTTTTAAAATTTTTAAGGTGCTATAAAAATGTTTTTCTCAAATATTCCACACAATGACTAATGCATATGTTCAGGACAAAAATGGGTAATATCACAATATTTGAGGTGCTACAAAAATATTTTTCTCAATAATTCCATACAATGACTGATGTATATGTAATCAATGCATCGTTGACTTAATAATTGTTAATAGTTGTTTACATTTTTTTATTATAATAACAATAACCACAAATAAATAAGAATAAAATTGAATATGATTGTCTGATTTATGTTTGTTTTTTGTTCAAAAATCTAAGAAAACACTTTGAATCTGTAGACTACTGCCTAATAGTATTATTATTGCCTTTTGATGATAATTGCTCATATACTGTAAGCCTAAATAAGTATATTTATTGTTTTGAACAAAGGTTAAATGTTATTTCACAAGTTTCAAAAAGTGCCCCCAATTTTTTTTTAAATGCCCCTGGATTTCAGTGAGTGGGGGCAAAAATTGCCCTCTAAACAATATGTAAATTTCCTACCCTGGTATATATACACATATAGATATATACACACATATATATATACATATCTATACACACATACAGTATATATATATATATATATATATATATATATATATATATATATAAAAGATTAAAATAAGTGCATGTCCTAGTTTGTAAAGAATAAAATTCATTTCATCCAAGGCTGGATTACCGACTGTATATCTGACAACTGCCCTGGGGTCCCAAACCCTCTGGGGGCCGAAAGGCTCCAGGCTCACCCGTGGTAGGTTGTGATAATACAAGTCATTGCAAGTTTTTTTATACTCATGTGCAGGAATAAAGACTTCAGGCAACACTTGCATTAGGGACCCCATCCTGTTGAGGGGCCCTTAGTTTGAACCTAGTTTTTAGGCCTTTGATGATTTCAGTAAACATTGTTCTAAAATACATTAGACAAAATGGTCTCTCACTGTTTCCCACAGCAAAGTTGTTTAGAATGTCTTTGATTGCATTGACAGAGTCAAGGAAAGTTACTATCATCTACTAAAGTCGGTGAATTTGTTTTGATGATTTCTGTTATCTGCATACTTTCAATCCCAGTAAATCCCAGTAAATCCCAGTAAATCCCAGTCCCCGCCTCTCCTGAACTCAACACCTCTGTAGCCACGCCGTGACTTTGCACAGTGGCCCTCTCGTTATCAAGAGCAGAAATGTCTTCTTAATGGATGCTATGACTTCACTTCACTGTAAGGGCACAGGGGCGTTGTTGGTCCAGGGACGGCACTATTTCAGCTCCTGCTAAAGTAATATTAGAGCACACTCTCCGTCAACCTATACAACCCCTGTGTGATATAACACAAGGCTATTTTCAGCCAGCTGCTGCAGTCCGGGCAGGATAAGGAAGGAGAAGAGAGGGCAAAAGAGAGTTGCTGCCGTGCTGATTCTTACGCCTCATCTTTCTCTGTTGAGAAGAGCAAAAAAATGTGCAGGAAGCCCAAGAGATTTAAGATGTCCCAAAGTGATTCATTTATGACAAACTGGAGAATTCCCATGCTTAAAAAGAGGTCATTGGGTAATTGAATATTTTATGACTTCAACCATAAAATATGTAAAGATTGGCATTCTTTGGCTTCTCTCGGTGATGCTGTAACTTTACATGCGGTACACAGTCTCCTTGATATTTGAACAAATCCTCAGAGGAGAAAAAGAGACTGTCTCTTGATGATTCTGACATTTCTTATAATTATTGAGTCCTCAGGCAATGCAGTAATTATTATTGAACTACTTTCTGACACTGATGTGATAAAAAGTCAGCGTGAAACATCCTTTTATTCCATCTTGACATTAAGAGCATTTATTGATCTCGGACTATATACTTATCCAGAGTACATTTTCACATGAGCATACATAACATTTATAATAGAGGGATTCCTGCCACATAATATCAATTTTCGTAGATGGTAACCAACAGTGAATCACTCATCCCTTTTGGCAGTCTACTCTAATTACTCTCAGGCTTCCATAAAGCATCTAGATAAAACCAAAGCTCATCTGTCTGGGCTTATTGGGTGGGGGGTGAAAGAAAGTGGAGTGCCGTGGGATTGCAGTTTGCCTTTGGTGGATCACATCCACTACCGCAGCTATGTATATCCTATCAGCAGCTAAGCCCATGAGTGTGGAGTGAGTCGATTCCATGGAGCAAAACCCTGGACTGTGATGTGAGAAGGAGAGGGAGGGCGACCCTGCAGTGACACGCAGGCCATGCAGTAAGCCAGCACAAGTAGTAGACCGTCAAATGCCTCGACTTCAGGGGACGAGTCTGTCACGAGGGGTGAACACCTCAAGTTTTCATGTTGTCAGTATTTAGCCACAGGTAAAAAAAAAAACAATTGTTATAGGCAGAAAGAAAGACTGGATAAAAGTAAAGTAAGGGGAGAGAAAGAAAATGAAAGAAAGAGAACTGCTGACAAAAGGCACCTGCAGTCAATTATTCTAACCCGCAGTACACAGCCAGTCGAGCAATGCAATACAGTCTGTGGAGAAAATGCATTACGAGCAGAATCACTTGAGACAGCAGACAAATGGACCTCGACTCTGTTTAATAATTTATTAAATACAGCATATTACACTCATAGTGATAATGTGCATACTGATAACTGTACTATAGAGACAATTTTTTTTGTAAATTTAAAATCTTATTGCTGCAGATGTTAAAGACAGAATGTTTTTTTCTCTGCTTCTTCTTTTCATGTAGTGTGCAAAATGAAATGCAGCATCCAATGGAAACAAACAAACATGTCCTTTGTGCTACAGAAGTGATGTTAAGGTTCGGGACACGATGTGTACGCCGATGAGACACATGCTACTCGATGGACGACGTGGCAGAACAAACGGACACCAAAATTCCACAGGAACAGGAAGTCAGAATCCCTCATGCAGCGCGTTACTGAAAGTCTGGCCGCCAGTCAAATCACATCGTTTTTATCGAAGCCAACTCATAAACGGTAGCCAGCCCCTTGATCATTGTTGGCGAAACGACTGACAACCCGGTTCCATTAACGATACTGTGCATCTTATAAAGGTACATCTGCCACTTCAAATATGTACACTCATATGTGCATTACTTCATTTACATCACTGTATCTCGCACCCTCAGACTTATTTACAGAAGATTCTTACAAAGAAAACGTCATGGAATTCATATACTGCTGTGTTCGGCCTTTGGGATATACTTTCATATATCGTACGAAATGAAGTGCCTTGCATTAAGGAGTCAGAGGCATGGCAAAATCAACTAAAATAGTGCAATTTCACATTCCTTGTCATTCATGAATTATTCTCCATAATACACATTTGTAGAACTATTTGGTGTGCATAAAGGTAGAATGTGAGAAAAGAAACGTGCACACAGGAGGTTAAAGGAAGGGAAAAAAATCAACATTTTGTGAAACACGCTCATTCGCTTTCTTGCAAAGTGATGGGAATATAGATACCACTCTCATGTCTGTACAGTATATTAAATATAAGGCAGCTGGTTATTTTAGCTTAGCATTAAGACTGCAAGCAGTGGGAAACAGCTAGCTTGGCTCTGTCTAATGGTCAAACAATGTTGTTACCTTTGGACAGAGTTAAGACAGCTGACTCCCCCTTTTTCCAGTATTTATGCTACGCTAATCTAATTGGCTGCTAGCTTAGACATGAGAGTGGTTTCACTCTTCTCATCTAACTCTCCTGAAGAAAGCAAATAAGCATATTTCCCCAAAACATCGAACTACTTTCAAGGATAAAATGTGTAAATAGCATCTACCTTTAAAACCACGAATATAAAAACTAAAGGAATATGATTGACAAAATAAATCTACACAGGACGCATGAGCGAATAAAGAAAATCCCTGAGGGCTAAAATCCTACTGATGGATGTACTGAAGGCTCATGGACGAAGATGATTGGATTTTCATGTGTGTTAGCTTCAAGAGAAAATTATTGCACAAGGTAATCGCAGAGTTTGTTAGCTAGCTAATGCGCCTGATGGGCACAGGTTCATCTTTTCAACAGCGACATGAACAGCTATGCTTGCTTTTTTAATAAGCATACCAGCGTGAATACATATAAATACTTGTTAACCATATGGAATTAATAAATTAATGTTGAATGCAATACAAATGCTGCACTCTATAAGATGTGCCCTTCAAATGAGAGAGACGTTGTTGCTGTTTTTTTGCTTGTGGCTGGAGGAAGAATGGGACAGAAGGATGGAGGGCAAAGATAAAAGAAATTCAATGGAAGGAAGGAAAGAGGTAGAACAGGGTTAGGTGGAGAGGGAAGAAATAAAGGATGGATGGAATGCAGAAAGAAGGAATGAAAGGCAAGTTTGGAAAAGGGGAAACGTGTCAAAGGAATGGATGAAGGAAGGAAGGAAGAAAGACAAACAAGGAAGAATTGAATTAGAAATGGATGAAATAAAGGATGGAAGGCAGCAAGGAGAGATGGATGGAAAAAATGAAAGAAAAGGAAGGAAGGAAGAAAGGCATACGTGAGAGGAAGTAAAACTAGCGGAACACTTTGTTAAGTTCTCTTATCAGGAGAGGTCTTGCAGTCCGCTGCCTTGCTCGATGACCGCCTTAGTAAACTGCTTGAAGACTCGGTCCATGTAAGTGCTCTGTCGAGGCCACATGCCCTCCAGAAAACCAATATGGCCGCCGTGACAGGTGATGAGCATGGCCAGGTTGGGATTCTGCTTCACTGCCTCCACTGGAATGGCTGAAAAAGGAAACACGGGACTCAGGTCCTGTTTTCTTCTCCGTGGACTACATTCTCAGTCTTCATGTCACCATGTTGGTAGTGTTTAAGTAACGTCGGAGTGTACAGAAATCTGAGGTTGCTGGGACTCACCATGAGACGGGGAAAAGACATCATCAGCAGCATTCAGACACAGCATTGGCACCTGCACAGATTTCAGCTTGTGGACAGGACTGGCATCATGGTAGTAGTCATCATTGGTAGGATAACCAAACATTATGGAGGTGAACCTCTCATCAAACTCTCGAATGGTCTTCGCCTGCAGGGAGGGACCAAGTAGATCAATTACATTTGGGCTACTTCCTTTAATTAGATAAGCATTTGTGGCCAATATATCACAAAAAATAACCCCGACCTTCATGACGTGATCGATGTCGTAACACTTTTCAAGCACTGGTCTGTGTCTGCAGGGGAGATTAAGAATAAAACGGTCACCAAACTTCTGTTGATTTGCAGCTGAAATGATTTGCAGCTGAAAATGTCCCTCAAAAATTGCTGACAAGGTCGTAACAGCATAATGAAACAAGAATCAAGCTTAGCTTTCAAAGTGGTCCTACAAAAGCATTACTGTGCATTTATATCATGCTGATCATGTTCACACCAAAATCAAAAACGCTGTTTTTTTAAATAATAGTGCTATTTATGAATCTAGACTGTTTTGGTGTGAGTTGCCTGGTTTTGGAGATATGGAATTTAGACATCTGCCCCCCTTAATCCACAGAGAGAAAATAGTTCTTGCACGAAACTGCTCACAACAAGATCTATTTTGATTTTGGCTGTGAACTGTCCCTTTAATGCACAGATTGAAAGATATTGTGGGTTTTATAATTGCTAAATGTTACCAGGCTTTTTTAAATATGCTTTGTTCACCAGCTAACATACATTTAAAATGTAAAATCAACTTTTATTGTCACACAGGTACACACAGCACAGCACACAGTGGCAATTAATCTAACACACGAAAAATAAATATGTAAAACCCAGTTATTGAAGCTCCTGCAACACTTGCCCCTAGCGGTGAGCTAGCAACCGCGCTAACCCCGCCCCGAACCCCGGCTGACCTGTGCACAGAGGCTTGTAGGCAGCTGGTGAGGTAGGAGTTGAAGAGGAAGCGGTCCAGGGGTTTTTCCAGTGAAGCGGTGCACTCAAATACATCCCAGCCTGCTGAGAAGACTATGACCCCTTTCAGACAGGTCTTTCGGCCCTTGCGCCCCAAGTAGTTGGCCAGCATCATCCTGAACGTGGAGGAGAGAGGGCGAGAGGGCGAGAGGGCGGGACAGATTGGTAAAAACGGGGATTGGAACATGTTCCATTTCTGATCAATCCTTCACATCGTGGGATGAGGACTGACTATAGCCCAAGCGATGCTGGATTTATATTTAAAATTCAGACATCAGGTATTTTCACTTCAATAAACCCATAAGAATAGTGACAGTATTTAAGAGAGAAGGGAGATTTACTAGCATGGCATCTTTTGCCTCTTTTGTCCAAACCAATCAAAAGACTAGCTGAATTAGTAAATGAGTATTTCTAAGTAGTGTACTATAGCAGCACATCTTTTTGGTTTCCACTGAGTCACCAGTCAATGTGTGAAGTCGTCTCGCACAGCTTTAAGTCACATTCTGGGATTTGTTAGCGGTGTACTGAGATGTTCAGTCAGCTGGTGGTGAGTGGCTTCCTTACCCGCCCATTGATACTCCAGCAGCCATGATTGGAGCCGCTTCATTCGTCCTCTGGATGTGCTCAATAACAGTCTCCAGATCCTCTGTGTTGGCCGCACAGTAGGTCCTCGGGGTCTGGGTGGGACCGGAAGACAACAGAGTCACTCTTTGCTGCTCTCTTCCCTCTTCTTGTTTCCAAATTTGATTTAACAGGCTATGAGCGTGTTACTGGTGGTGATAATGGGACGATGGAAGTGGTTGTGGTGACGATAATGCGGATAGTGATAATATGAGAAACACAAAAGAATTATAAAATAAACTACATATTCATAATGTACGGCTGATGTGCAGGCCCCTGTCTAGTGGCCGGGCGGATGCAGGGTTTACCCAGAGGGGGAAATGATCACATCAAATGAAAAATGAAGGACTGCACTGAATATTGCACAAATAAAAACATATGGAGCAGACACAGTCTCCCTGGGTCACACTAGGACCGTTGTTATTTACAGGGAGAGAGCGCAGCACAGGAAGTGGACTTATAGCGTCTGTCAGCTTGTGTTATTGTCTATCTATAGTGAAGATCAGCTGATGCTGTACAGTAATGCAATATGCTCTGCAGAAGTCAATCGATATGATGTAGAAGGCAGATCAAACTACAGCTGAAAGGATTAGTTTACTAATATAATCAATGATTCGCTTAAAGATTCAGAAAGTAACTTGTGTAAAAAAGTAACATTTTGTTTGCTGAAACTGTCTCTATATCCTGACGGTAGACGAGACAGATAATCTGTGGGGGAAAGCAGGTTCTTCCGCCTCCTCTTAGTGCTCCTAATGGCATTTGCAAGATTCCACGAAGCCCGAAGTAAAACAACCAATCAGCGGTGAGGAGTCTCTAACGGAGCCGTCGGTCACTGCTCGTAAACACCGATCAAACGGTGAAACTAGCCAGCGCTGATGAAATATGACTCAGGATGCTGTTGCGGCATTGCCTTATTTCTCGCCTCATATGTTCAGAAACATATTTTAGTATTCTGCTTATCCGTCAAATTAGAAAGTTGGTGATCCAGACGCCATGTTGAAGAAACAGTCGAGCCAAAACCAAGCCGAACGCCGACTGTTCACTGGTTCTGGCTTCTCAAATATCAATATTTGCTGTTTGTCTTTGCTTTTTGCAATATTAATCTGAATATCTTTGGGTTTTGGACAGTTAAAAAACTAAACATTTAAAGATGTCACTTTAGTCTTTGGGAAACTTGACAGGGATTTATTTTTTTTACTTTTGTCTAATGTTTTAGAGACTAAGCCATTAGCCTGTAGGATAGGCACAAATACAACATCAGGCTGGACTGACCTCTATCATGATTCCCCAGCATGCAAAAGCATACGCAAAAGCATGCTGGGCCTCATAACCATGAGGGGTTGATCGATGGAATCTGTGCTCGGACATGTCAGCTGTTTTACAAATAAACTGAATATCTTTGGGTTTTTTTAACGGACTAAACAAGATATTTGGAGGCGTCATCTTGGGACGAAAATAATCATTAGTTGCAGCCGGAAGCAGCCAACGCAATTCACTGTACAACCTTTAAATGTAAACAGAAATTATGCATTTGGTAATTTCTATTGTTATGTCTGCTAGTGCAGCGCCCGTTCACAACATGCATGTACGGAACAGGCCGATTGCGAGGCCTCCGTTATTGATGCAGTGTTTTTCTTACTGCAGCTGTGAAGCATCTCTCCAAACATCCGTTGGACTGCAGAAGTGAGTCCACACTCACTATAAATGAGTAAAGGTGTGAACAGAAGATTATTTTACTCTAAAACCGATTGTATACAAATGAAACTGTCATTTTTTTGCAGGCCAAGAAAGGGTTTAAATCTGTCTCTAATGAGGCAAAGCTATGATTTTACAGCTTATCTTGAAACGCACTATATTATTGTTATTATTCCTTCAGGCTATTATACAGATGAACACTGTTCTATGATGTTTGGGCGAAGCGGTAAAATCCTTTTTAACGTGAAACAGTTTGTCAGGCAGGGCAGATTACTTCACATTATAAAACAAACCAGCTTGAACTCTAAATAGCCTCTTTAACAAGTCCAATACCTCAGGATGCTGTTGACTCTTCAGCTTTTAAAGGTCTTTTATTTAGATTAAAGCACAGACACAAAGTAAATGTCGTAAACTGTTTTTCTACTCTCCTAAGGGTCCTTTAATAGGCCTGCACAACGTTTGGACTCTACAGTGAAACAGCTAAACTTACAAATTGATTGATAACATATAAGATATTTTTAAAAACATATATAATACTAATAGTTTGGGGAAATATTTACGCTGCAAAGCTACTCCACTGTAAAGTCTAATGTAATGGGCTGTTTATGAGGTCTAGAAATAGGGCCCGAGGCACTCCAAGGCAGTCTTTTAAGGCAGGGGGCATCTTTCACACAGCGAGTCTTTCTCAACCAAAGCCCTGGCCTATTTTAACAATGGATGATATTCACACTAACTGGACAGAGAGAGAACACTCACAGGAGCGTACAAATGCTACATCATTTGCATAGAAAAGCACAGTTCCCAAGTGAAATGAGGGAGAAAATCCCCGCCTTGCCACCACCACTTGGTACAGTGCCGAGGTCATCGAGTTTAAACTTTGAGTTTTTCTAAATCTGAGCACAGCTGAGCCAACTCAATTCTGGATATGACTGTTGAATGCATGCGTAAATCGAACTAACGCCAGACAATTTGCTTTAGTGTCACTTTTACCCTTTTGTCTCGCTGCAGCTGAGACGACAACAGACGAGCCACTGATTGAGATTTACACACACTACGAGGGACAATAGATTGATTGTAGGCAATCCCTGTAATGAAACACCGTTTGTGCTATGACTGAGATGTCTGTATGGTAGTGATGGTATGATTAGATCAGGGTGATACAGTCGTCTGTAAAGAATGTGCCTCTGTTCCAAAGATGAGGGGATGGGGGGGGGGGACATAAAACACAGGCACGCCTTGTGATATCAGAGCTCTGGCCCATTTTGTTGGCTAAATATTCCCCCGGCTGTAAGAGGACAGATTATGTCAGGTGTCGGAGCAGCACGTGCTCGACGAGGTCATATTTCTGTGGATTGGTATTAAAACACAGTATCTGCCTGCAACTTAATCCCTGTATGTGCAACAACACTGTCTGTGCAGCATCCGCTTAGGGTTCCCATGCGGGCTCTGTGACACATGTTTGTGACACATGTGGAATAGATCCGCTCTGTGCTGGCTGAAGCAATGACAAGGACAACTCTACAGGGAAGCTGTCATACTGACAAACGGGAAAACCAACTGTCATCAACAGTCCTTTTTTTTTTTTAATCCTGTACACATGTCTGTCTGACTATATGGACGAGGCAAATGAAGAAATGAACTGATTCCTACCAGCAGTGTTTCACCAGAAACCCCTCTGTTGTTGAATACCACGCATCTGAAACACACAAAACATAATCTCAGTCTACTGAATGATTCCTTTAATCGTTTCATCTATTTATTGCCTGTCACTGAAAGAAGTTTAAATAGAGCTGAAATGATTAATGCATTGGTCGATCGACAGAAAATTAATTAAAAAGTATATTCTGAACATCTTTGGGTTTTTGACTCTTGGTTGCACAAAACAAGTAATTTAAATACGTCACCTCGGGGCTCTGGGAAACTGCGATGGCCGTTTTTCACAATTTTTATGTCACTATAGACAAAAAGATTAACCAGTTGATCAATTATATAATTGGCTGGTTAATCAATGATCACAAATTTTCTAAAGAAGAAAAACACGTACATGCTCTCGTAAGTTTACGCTTGCTTTTTTTTTTTTGTCACTGCAAGTTATTGACTTCCGTGTTCAAAGGAGCACGGTGGCCCAAATTCCTTTGAACAAATGTTCCTTACTTTAAATGAAACCCAACTGAAGTGGGAATATGCTGAGCTGTGCAGGGAGGCCCAGCTGTGTGAAGAGCATTCTGTCTGTACTGTGCAGCAAAGGCATCAGCATCCCTCCCCTCATCCATAATCTGGAGTCACACCCGCCGTTTCGGTCGGTGTGGCCCAGTGGCAGGGTGGGGCTGGATGGAGAGTTGGGCAAGAGGACTGGGAGGTGTGTGTTTGTGTGTGTGTGTGTGTGTGTGGGGTGTGCGCTTAAACACACACACACCGCAGCATAAACTCGGAAGCTGGCCTGGGCTAAGCTGCAAAGCTTGTACCGGGATAAACTGTAATTCATTAAGCTACACAGACAGGGGTGAGGGGTGGAAGATGCTGAGTTTGCCATGCCTTCCTGAATCTGGGTGAAAGAATGAGCGCAGGCAAAAGGGTCTATTGGAGGGGGGGGGGAGAGGGGGGAGAAAATGCCTCCCTCTGCAACTCTTCGAGCTTGTGCTACGTTTGGCGATTTGCAAAAAGCGACTCTTGACGCAGAGCTCAGCTGCCCGCTTTATTTGTGCACTTCACCTGAAATGACCCCGAGCCCCTGTGACGCATGCAAGCCTTACATAAAAAAAGTTACGAAGTCATCGCAAAGCCAGGTGTCAGGTTTTTCCACTTTCATCAATATTGGTGTGACTGCTGAGGTATTCTGATTTTGATTGGACCAAATGTCTGAGTGGCAAATTAGAGCGTAGGGCACAGAGAGTGTCAGTGGTGTGATTTAGCGGCCCTTAATGTGTGCTCAGTGCTGGCCCTCAGCCAGGGTGTCCAGCCAAGACCACCCACCTATAGCCCAGATCCCGGCTCTGTTGGACCATGTGCAGGATGTAGGACTCTCGGCTGGTGCCGGTCAGACCGGGGAGGAGGAGGATCGTGGGCCTGGCGGCAGGGTCGGGATGAGAGAGGCTGTCGTCGTTGTCGAACCAATCCAGAGAGATCTGTCCTCCGTCCGCCGCCTTAATGAGCTCACTGCAGAGACGAGCGAGACACACAACTCAGCAACGACAATCTCGCTAAAAAATGATCTCTGTATCTGTGTCTGTATCTCCGTGCATCCATTCATTTGTCTCGTTCAAACACGCATTGATAACATCGGCTCACAGAATGGTCATTCAAATTCTCTGGTTCCATTCTTCACGCAATTAATGATTTCTGTTCAGTTTCCAGGTAAAGTGACTATACTTCATTGCGTCCATCACAAGCACCCCCCAAGGGGAATTGGATATGCGGGTAGAAGAGCTCACTTACAGCTGCCGGCGGCACAGCGCGTTAAGATAAGCAGGAGGGCACTGCACCAGTGGGTTCTTATGGTCAATCAATTTCTGGGTTATACAAGCCCGGCCAGGCAGATGAGGTCATTCAAGCCCCGGTGCTAGTGCATTTTAAAACCTGCACTGCACACACACACACACACACACACACACACACACACACACACACACACACACACAGCAGGCAGTGAGCCAACTTGGCCGGCTGGCTGTAAAGACATCCGCATGAAATTAGAGAGCCGCCATGAAATATGCATCTTGAGCCAGACTTTAAAATCAGTGAGGGCCGATCCACAAAGCGAGAGGGGACCTGGTGCCGATCCTCCGCTCGGACAATGACATGAGTGGAATTTCACCGCGGCAGTCGGTGACAAATTGGACAGTTTTCACGGTGTCCGTCCTTGGGTGACTTCATTATCGGGGGAATGGGGTGGGGGGGGGGGACGTCCTGTTGTCCCGAGAGGAAATGTGATAATAACTTGAGTGAGTGTTACCCCGTTTGATAACAAACAGTTGGACAGGGATGCATTATGGGAATATCTGTCTCCTTGGGGCGTAAAAGCCGAGGCAGTGTGAATGTTATTGGGACAAACAATGAGACTAATAAAGATTTAACTACAACGACGTCAATAATCGTGATCATGTGTGCCAACTTCTGAATGATCAAGTGTCTCAATTTGAAACACAGATAATAACAGATTTATTCCAGCTATAGCTGATATTGGTGAGAAACTGCACCAGTAATACGGTTATTTTTGTTTAGGTGTTAAAAAAGTTTAAATTTTGATATATAGGTTAGGGCGAACAAAGCAAAAGCACAATTTCAGGAATTATTTGTTTTTCTTTTTCCAACCCCGGGTACCTGCTGACAAAGATCATATTGCAGAATACATGCACAACCTACACTGTATATATACACACACACACATACATTTGGCCAAAAAGCATTGTTGTGCAAATTAGGGAATATCTGAATACATTATGTAATTGTACATTATGTAAGAATGAAATATGAACAAATAAGTAATAAACAGTAATAATGACAAATAAGTCTCTCTTAATTCATTTTAATCTCCTTTGTGTGCGCAGGGGGCAAGGAATGCAGTGGCAATTAATCTTCAACAGAATGTACATTATCAAGGAGCAGGCAGGGCGGCCCAAGCCTCCATCGTGACACAAACGATGTCTTTCTCCTCTGAGCCCTTCAATCTGGGCTAAAGAACAGGACTGGCATTTGTTTCCAGTTGTTAAACTGGTGAGAAAGATTCGAGAAATGCACAATGACAGACTCCCAGTGACCAAGCTAATTCTTGGAGATTTTCACTGTGGGCATGGAAAAAATGTCTGCAGTGGCGTTTAATTACTCCAGAATACCAGAAGAAGTAAGCTGACATTATAAATGTGCATGTGCTGCAGCATGTCAAAGGTGACATGGTGACATGTCTACCTTACGTTCTTCACACTTATCTCTCTGACCTCTTTTACCGGAGCTGTTTTATGAGTTCAAATGCACATATGAACCGCGCTGAAGCGTGTCTGAAGAGTGAGGACTAACTTTCTGTAGACGACCCCCGGTTTGGCAGTGACGAAGGGTCTCAGCAGAGTCTGGATGCGGCTCTCCCAGCACCAGAAGGTGGGGTAGTAGGTCTCTGACACTACGGGACATTGCTCCTTCAGAAAGTGGTAGAACTTCTTACCCCCAGAGATGAGCTGTGGCTTCTGTGGAAGACAGGGAATCAAAGTGCGACACAGGTTCAAGAAAGTGGCTTCTTTATCTTCATTCAGTAAAGTGAGGTTATCTAACATGACAGCACATCAATCGCTGTAACAAAGCATCTTTTAGCTGAGCCATGTTTTGTTACATCATATCCAACTTGTTGCATTATTGTCTCTAAACTCAACATCAAATCTTCTGATGTGGATCAGTTGCAAAACTTTCAAACAAAATGACATTAAGATAGAAAAATAATTGAGTACAGGATTTAAAATGTCAGCATCCAATTGAAATAAAGGTTATTACTAACTTACTAACACATATGACCCACATGAACCTGCATTTAAGCTCTCTATTACACTTCAACATACTGACAATAAACGTTAGGCATGCATTACATGCATTTGTTAATTTAACTTTAATTTGTTGCATAATTTGGTCTATTAGCCAACTTAACTTTTGTTTTAAGGAAACTGTTGGGTCTACTGACAATTACATTTTTCCCCCTATTCATATTCTAATCTTAAACTCATGCTTAATAAACGTATTCAATTTGTATTTATTAATAGTGACTGTGAGTTACTGCCCGCTATCAAATGAATGATGGCAGCTTACAGAAAACCCTTCAACACGGCATTCCCATCTCACATACAGTACCCGTTCATGGTAGCTTAGCTTGGTCAGTGCCGACATCTAACTGTGACCGTCGCGTCTATGGGTTGGTCTTGCCTGCAGTTACATAAGTGCTGCACGTGGATAACATAGATTCCGGGTATTGTTATATATGCTGATTTAAAAAAAATCGGCTAGTGAGCCGCCAAACACGTGCAGGCATGTACCGGTGGACAGATGCAACCTTATCGATCCATCAGCAAATGCACCGGTCGAGTGTCATCATCACTCGGCTGGCAGTGATGGTGACGCTGCACCGCGAAGGGCACACGCGGCGGGTTTTAAATGCCCCCCCACACACACACACCCACACACACAAGGCTATAAGGCTATAAGCAGCCGGTCAGGGTGTTATTAACCGCGAGTTAATTAAGGATACTTACCTTCGCTACTGAGAGCAAATAGTAGCAGGTGTACGCTGCGCTAAAGCCCAGCACCAGAGACAGTCCCACTCCCGATCCAAACAGCCCGACTTTCACTTGGTTTTCCAGATAATGTGACAGGTCCCTTGTCAAAATGTTGAAATTGAAGTCCAGCGAGATCATTGCAAGGGTTCCCTGTTTTCCTTTTATCCCCGTACTGCAAGGACAGCGGCCGGCTCAGGGTTGAAAGTCAGCTGTGTCTGCCTGCGAGCACCACTGTGAAGGACCGCAGTTAGCTCAGCAGACGCTCAGATCTCCGTGGTCAACTCAGCAGACTCTTGAATTGTAGTGCGCCTATATGCTGAAATTCACGGTAAACGTATTCAAACGGAACAGATCGGGAGCGAGCGAAGGACTTTGCAAAGTTAGCGGAGGGATTAACGTGAGACAACATCCGGCTTTCAAAATAAGATGTCAACTAAGCATATACAAATTGCATTTGTGGAAATAAGATTAAATTAATTATATTAACATTAACTACAAAACATGTTACGTGCATTTCGTGAGTTAAAGGGAAAATACAACTGCATTGTGTCTATATTCTTTGATTTGAGGGTTGCTGGAAAGATAATGCAATTATTAATATCTGACTTACTGATATGTATGTGTTCAGGACATTTCTGACAATATCCAAACAAAAATCAGACATGTTAACTGTACGAATTAAGACGTTTTATGAAGTAAAAACTGTGAACTGAAATTGCACCTTCAAATAGCTAATATCTGAAATGTTTAAGGTGCTATGAAAATATTCTTGTCAGTATTTCCATACAAGACATTTTTACTTTACCAATTAAGAATTATTTCAAAGTAAATGTCATACATCTGTACCGAGAAAATAACTAATATCTGAATATTTGAGGTACTATGAAAAGTATTTTCTCAATAATTCCAGACAATAATAATAATTCGATTGGTATCAGTCCGGAGTGTCTAGGAACTTGGGAAGAAGTGAATCTCATTCATGAGCTCACTTCAAATCACATTCATGAGACAATTTGTCTAATTTCAAATTAGATTTTAGAGGAAATGGTGCATAGTTACACAAAATAATTTCACAACAGGCTAATAGCAGACCACCTCAAGGTCTCACTCTAACAGAACCAAAACATTCTGATGTAGCATTTTAAAATCAAAGCCCTTCTAAATCTCACTCATGAGATAACTTCAAATCACATTCATGAGACAATTTGTCTAATTTCAGATTCGATTTTAGAGGAAATGCTGCATAGTTACAAAATAATTTCTGTTTCTCGGTACAAATGTATGATTTTACTTTGAAATATCTCCTAATTGGTATAGTAAAATTGTTAGATTTTTTGTATGGGTAGAGTCAGAGATGTCCTGAAGACATATCTATCAGTCATTGTTTGGAATTATTGAGAAAATACTTTTTATAGCACCTGAAATATTTAATTAGATGTTTTCTCAGTCCAAATGTATGACTTTTACTTTGAAATATCTCTTAATTGGCGCAGTAAAAATGTCTGATTTTCAGTATGGGTGGAGTTAACGAAATCTTGAATACATCAGTCATTGTATAAAAATATTGACAAGAATACTTTTATAGCACATTAAAAATGTCAGAAATTAGCTATTTGAAGGTACAATTTCAGTTCACCGTTTTTAATTGGTAAAGTTAACATGTTTGATTTTTGTTTGGATGTGGTCAGAAATGTCCTGAACACATACATATCAGTCAGTCAGATATTAGTCATTTAATTATCTTTCCAGCAACCCTCAAATCAAAGAATAAAGACACTTCATCCACAATTTAGTTGTATTTCCCTTTAACTCACGAGATTTAGGTATGTTTTGTACTTAATGTAAATATAATGAATTTAATCTTATTTCCACATAATGAAATGTATACGCTTAGTTGACATCCTATTTTGAAAACCGGATGTTGTCTCACGTTAATCTTTCCGCTAACTTTGCAAAGTCCTTCGCTCGCTCCCGATCTGTGCCATTTGAATGCGTTTACCGTGAATTTCAGCATATAGGCGCACTAAAATGTAAGTGTCTGCTGGGTTGACCACAGAGATCCGAGTGTCTGCTGATTTGACCGCAGTTGGGAAGGAGACCTGGGGTGGTTACATATATAATTATGTGTATCAGCGAGCGGTGGCGCTCTTTGGCCGGCTATCAGTCAGATGGTTTTGTCTCCCCCTACCTTCGACGGAGGGGAAGTGCACCATGCGACGCTTGCAGTTTCTGCATGAGCCTTGAAATCTTCCCTTCGGTGCCTCTAGTGGGGCATAAATCAGTCAATAGACAATTAAATCGATATTTGCAAAGAAAGCCTGGTGATCATTGAACAACTTAAGCTTCTGAAAAAATGATCTGGGGATTTCCGGACGTAGTAGTCTCCAGTAAAACAGAATTAACAGCCGGCAAAGCATCTGCCCCAGGGGCTATAGACCCACAAGGGGCCCAGCCACTCAAGGTTCACCATGTGGCAATTAGTTAGTGGTAATTTAATTAACTGAGAATGTGTTTGTTGATGTGTTCACCATTATAAACTGAAATGATAGGCACCTTAAAGCAACACCTGTATTATGACCTAATCTTGGGGCCTTATCTAGTCGAGAAGGACCCTGAGTTAAAGTCTATATGTTTAAAGCCTTGTTATATATTGTTTTTTACCAGGTCAATTGTTGCATAATACTTATACAATGCACAGAGAGTGAAAAAAAACTGGGTCATGTGGGCTATTATATTGAAGGCCCACTATAGGTTAGTCTGATTTCAAAAGTATAGTCCATGCCATAAACATGTTTTGCTATTATCAGATTAAAGTATGTATTGTATCTGGTGAGTATGATATGACTTGACATTTTTTTTATTTATGGAATTAACAATAAGATTTTGCACAATTTAGGTTGATACTGGTTATAGATGAACATACAAGTGGCCTTGTCTACCTCACCTTCTGGACTCTGGAGAAGTAAAGTACGATGATCTTTCAATATGCTAATTAATATATTAATAAAAATTAATAGCTATACTCAATGAAAAAAAATGCATTGTGTTGCTTCTCTGTGGGCTGGATCTCATTTAATCATGAGTATTTGAATTAATGTCAGCTGTCATCAGCTCAAAGAGCTGTAATGTTACCACCATAAATCCAAGTGTAGTAAACAATGTATGAGTGGATGCATTATGCAAGAGAATATTCAGATATTTTGTTCCACAAAATCAACTAAAACATTGATATTTGTGTGTGTTTTGGCTACTTGTCTGTGTACACTAAATTAGGACAGGTACTTTAGTTAAAATTATTGTTAGAATTGGAAAGAAAAACGTTTATTAGACACTTTACAAATATCTGTCTCCATCTATCTGTCTGGGCTTGCATGTTGCAGATGCGCATGCGCGCCGTGGACACGGACTCGTGCTTGTTTTCCCAAGCGTCGCGTCTTCGGGCTTTGTCGTTCACCTCCGTAGCTAGTTGTTGCTTGTCTGAGGTCTGAACGATGATTGACAATAATGGCGACGCGTTTATTCTGAGTTGACTCCAGGGGAACGTTCTCTGGTTGACAAAGGGAACGTCTGGGGTGGATTTTCAGCTCGACGGACATAAAACAATAAGAATAAGGACTAACATTTACCTCAACGGAAAATAACTTGCTAGCCAGGAGAGGTTTATCCTGCTAGCATTGCTACAGCTAGCAACTCGGCTCGCTAGCTTGCTAAGTTGAAGAGGTGGCATTATTGTGTATGGAGTGGAGGAGAGAGAGCTTGCTGGGTACTCAGATCTGGCTAAGCTAGCAATGTGGCTACTTAATAGGCTTTTGGGCTAAACGTTTATTAGTTTCTCATTCTCCAAGTCAACGCCGATGAGGCACTGACTTACAGTTACCGTTAGCTTGTGGAGGATAGTTTTCTAGGAGGCTCCGACAGCCTCCTTTAGGTAGCTAGCAGGCTAGCTTTGTGGATTGTTCGTCTCCTTTCCTGTACGGACTTGTTCGCACTTGGGATTTTGGAAACTGTCCACCGGCTTTCAAACTTGTAATATTGCACAAAAAAAAAATGACTACCGGCAGGAATAACCGAGCGATGATGGAAGGAGTCGGAGCCAGAGTGGTCCGCGGACCCGACTGGAAGTGGGGGAAGCAGGATGGTGGAGAGGGACATGTTGGCACCGTGAGGAGTTTTGAAAGTCCAGAGGAGGTGGTGGTTGTCTGGGATAACGGGACGGCTGCTAACTACCGCTGTTCTGGAGCGTACGACGTGAGGATATTAGACAGTGCTCCAACAGGTAACTTTACAGCACTTTCAGACTAATGTACGACAAGTGTCTCTCGATGCCACAGAGTTATGCTCCACATAAAAGAGACTTTATAGATATAGATCATAGCTTCATGGTCTGTATTTTGAGGCTTCGGTGGGTGCAGGAATGAGATCGATAACAAGCTGTTGCTGTAATTAATGTATTACTTCACGATAGTAAGGCTAAGCTCTTTGGGTTGTTGAAGAAACTTTTAGTGTAAACAATTCTCGGAAGCATTTTTCTCTGTGTTGAAGGCAGACAATGTCTGCTTGACTTCCCCGATCTATACATATCTATATATAGATATATATTTAAAAACAAGTATTTAAATACATCCTGTCTGAACAGATGTGGCTATGTCACAGATAGCACCAGTCAAGATATGCAAATAAGCTAATATATATATATATATATATATACACACACACACACACACACAGGATATGCACGTTCAGAGTCAAGCATATTAGATTTTTTATTACACCTTTTAGATGAAAACATTTCCAATATTATATAAAAGTATATCAGTAGGATGTAGACATAAAAATACAGTTTTAGTCGTGGTTGACTTTTTAGAATTTCTGTTTAAATACAAACACTATAATTGTGCTTACAGTTTAGCACATGTGTGCATAGTTAATTTGTGTACATAATAGAGAAAACTGTAATACCGACATCCAGTTTGTAATACTGCAAATATATAAATATTGCAATACTTTCATCAGTGGGCCACAGGCTCGATCACCATTGTGTTTCCTCCTTTGGCGATGTTGACATTTATGTACATGAAAATCTTGATATTGCCACTTTAGATACAACTTCACCATGTTTTTGGCTTTATGGCTCCGTACTTGTCATAGTATTAAATGCCAATGCAGTTACAATTTTCCGCATGTATCCCATTGACTGGCTCCATATATATCACCACCTGATGATGCAGTCACGTGATAAGGAGCAGAAGAGGTTTTTGGTGGTTCTTAACAGGATCCTTAAAGATCAACCACATCTTGAAAAAGATGTGATTTAAACTCTTAACTCCATAATTAGTCAAGCTGTTCTCACGTTAACAGGTGTGCGATATAGCCCTCCTGAAAGGTAATGTGGACTAGGAATATGTGGAATAAGTTTCATTGTGTGCACAGTTATGTCAAATCATAGAGTTCAGATTGCATATGGAATACTTATTTTTGCACGGTTAGTATAAATAGATGTTATTCCAGTCGTATTTTTAATCACATGCAATGTCCTACACAATAAAACCCCATTTTTTTTGTTTCAAATGTTGATTAATTCTGCCCCTCCTCAGGCATCAAGCATGACGGAACCATGTGTGACACCTGCCGTCAACAGCCCATCATCGGCATTCGCTGGAAATGTGCTGAGTGCACCAATTACGACCTTTGCACAACCTGTTACCATGGAGACAAGCATCACCTGAGACACCGCTTCTATCGGATCACCACCCCGGGCAGCGAGAGGTGAGCCCAAACATTAGACGGTGTTGTGCTCTCACTTTAGACCCACCCGTTGTATACGATGGACACACGGTTAGCCAGGTAATCCACGCCACTTCATTGTGGATTGGTGGCCCCGCCCCTATTCGTCTGGCCTTGTGTTGCATTAAGTGTGTGTGTGTGTGTGTGTGTGTGTGTGTGTGTGTGAGAGTGACATTTGAGAGGTCTTTTGTGCAGACAGGATCTATCTCTATGCTCCCAGCCTTCAGTTGCCAGGCAACAACTCAGCCTCGTTTTAAGATCCAGTCATACCTTTTTGTAAAAAAATCACATTAATGCAACATAGAATTTATTTGAGTAGATTTCCCAGATTTTTTTTTTCTCTTGTGTTTATGTCTTCAGAAGGCTGCATGCTCATGAAATATAACATACAGATTTATTGAAAAAGTCTGTTTCGCAGCTGACTTTCGAGCTTTGTAATTGCATATAATGAACAGAGATAATGAAAACTTTTCACTACATCATGTAAGACGGCTTCCTGTTAAGTACGAAGGACTTAAAAGTATGTAATAACTGTCTCATAAGTTACCAATCATATAATAATATAAAGAGTAACACTAGACGTGTACAGGCCAGTCCCAGCAGGGTGCTACAGACGTCCCTTGTGCTTAATATTGTTTTATTTATCACTATTGTCACTCAAAATGGTGTCGCCACAGCGGGAGCCCTATTGCTCTGTCTCAGTGTTAATGTGTAAAACTATCATTTATATGAACTCCGCACTTTGTATGACAATAAATGCATTTTAGTGAGAAGTTGTTGTGCTGTGAAGACTGTGGTGGGTTTACTGTCAAGCCTCCCCAGGAAGTGTTGACATTGTCAGCAAGACATTAGATAACATTGTTGCTATTGACTAACTAAAAGTTGACCTAAAAAATGATGTTAAATTAGTTTTAGATCTTAGTCAGGACAATGGAAGTTGGCGCAGAAGCTGTTACAGTTTGGGCAAACTTTGAATGAATGCATGTGCAGACAAGAAGGCAGCGTTCCTTTCCTTTAAAGTTGCTCCACACAGATATTAATGCATAGTAGGAAAACAAACAATCAAATCAGTTCAAAGTGATGTGGTTTAAAGACTTTAAATGTATTATTTGGACCTGATTGTGCGTAAGCACACTCATTAAATTCCACAACTTGCATTTGATTGTGTTATTGCAAAGACTGTCAGTACTGTGATGACGCTTCATCCATTTCAGGCCTATTTCAGCCAAATACCATCATTGACTAAATGAACACATGGCCCAACAGCTGGCAGCCTTTTCAACCGAGCGCGACTTCATTTCCCCCGAGACAGACGTTGCATAAAGCACAATGGGTGCTGGAGGTCTCCCCAGCGTAGTGGGGTGTTTAGTTACACTGCATTAGATTCTGTCACTAACTGCCGGAGAGGGAGTGGTTAGAGGCCACGAGCGGTCTGCACTGGTTAGACCCACACCGTCCAGCTGTCGCGTCTACCACCACGGCTCACACTTGTTTGATGCTTTGCGCTCAGCTATTAATCGCTATTACCTCTTCATTGGTTCGGGCTCGTTTAGACTTTTTTTAACGCTGGCTTTTCATTTGCATTTGCACTGCCATGATTGTTGGGTTTGGCTGAGAACGGAAAGAATTGTCAGTGATGTGTAAATGCCGTGTCATTACAAAGATTATTGTTATTCGTAATGTTACAAGTTACAACACGACCCCTGCCACTCGCACAGCGTGTTCCCTGAATCGAAAGTATAGCTAAAGGCAATAGAAAAGCTCGCCACAATAAAACAATTTGTGTCTGATGTTTCAAAGACTTGAAAAGATCAGTGCTGATGTGTTGCTTGCAACTCTTGACAAATATTTGTGGTCTGATTTGTTTTGCTATCATCAAACATCCGTTGCTCAGTGGACTGCATGGTTGGTTCAGCAGATTAGATGCTGTTAAGGCCACTCTCTGTAAGATCTTGATCTGTAGCCATGTCCCATTTGCTGAAAGTAATTCACACCATGACTCCAGAGCAGTAGGCACACAGAGAAGGGCAGTTAAGGACACGAGGTATCAGACGGGAGGCATCGCCTCTGCGATGCATATTTGCTAGTAATTTGGAAAAATACCTGTCAATTGATCCATGGAAACAGAGCCTCTGTAAACACCTGCTGTAGAGTATTCTGACAGTGTTGAGAGTGCTGAACCCAAATGGAAATCTTTGTCTTTGTTTTTGAGTAGAGTTCTTTTGGAGTCACGTCGAAAGTCAAAGAAAATCACAGCCAGAGGGATCTTCACCGGTGGCCGGGTTGTTAGAGGAGTGGACTGGCAGTGGGAAGACCAAGATGGAGGCAACGGAAGGAGAGGAAAGGTAATGATAATGAACTTTATTGATATTGTATCCTTAAAAACAGAGTTTACAAAGTGCTTTGACAGACAAAGCAAGGCAATAAAACAACAGAAAGCTCAACAGTGAGGCCCAACAAAGCGAGAGAAACTAAAGTAAACGTTAAACCCTGATACAACAGTACAGTGGATGAAACAGTAAAACCAATCGATACGATAAGAACAAACTAAGGAATAAAATAATAATAACAAAAATAAAAGACAGCGATAAAGCAGTAAAAAGACAGAATCACATCAAAGCCAGTCAGTAAAAATGGGTTTTAAGAAGTGATTTAAGAGAGATTAGCGATTCTGCGAGCCTTATCTCCTCCGCCAGCTCGTTCCAGAGCCGATGGGACCTGATGGCAAAAGCACGGTCACCTTTAGTTTTGAGTCTCGACTTTGGAGCAGCCAGAAGGGCCCCACCCGAGGATCTAAAGCTGCAAGGCTCCACATTTCTGCCAGACGTGCTTTAAAAGTTATCAGTAAAATCGTAAAAACAATTGTAAAACAAACAGTGACAGGGAGAATGGATAGCAGCCACGACCGGGGGGGCGGGGTGATGTTGTCTGTTTAAACCGGTGAGAAGCCGAGCTTCTGCATTCTGAACTAGTAAGTCTTAAGATGATAAAAGCATGAATGACTTATTTCAGGTCAGCGTGTGAGTGGATTGGTTTGAATCTGTGAGACCGTTCTAATTTGAAGGAAGCAGGACTGGACAACTCAAAAAAATAAAACTAACTAAGTGCAGCATCTTTTAAGACGGTTGAATAAAATTGTCTACTGTGTCAAAAGCTGCACTTGGGTCTAAAATAATTCAAATAGGTTCGGTTCCAGCCAAGAAAGTAGAGCCTGTAACTCCAAATTTGCCCATTTTCTTTCTCCACGAGCCAGTGACCTGTAAATACAATACAGAGCTGAGATCAGTGAGCACTGAGGCCAATAAGACAAGTACTCGTCTAAGTCTGGCAGTCAGTTATATGCCGGGGCCAGTGCTGGAAAGATGTTTCTGGCTTTACTATTCCTCATATAGTGAAAGGCATGTGATCTTTATCACTCTGCCACTTGTTTTTACATCACCTGAGAGCTTCTGTGGGCTCCAGACGCTGACAGTTTTCAGTGGACAAGGCACAAAAATAAAAATAAGGCTGAGAGTAAGAATTGTCTTCTATAAATCCCTTTTTCACAAGTGAGGTATAAAAGTTCATACATCTTTCTATTCCTTGCTGAATGAACATGACTACATGATACTAAATGATTCAGTTTCAAAAACGTAGGCAAACTCGGCTTTTTGTTTTTAATTCAAAGCTGCACAGTTAAGTGGATAATAAATCCCAGGTGGTAAAGCAGACTTAGTACGTCTGACAGAGGCCATGACGACCACATGTGTGCCACCGAGCGGAGCATGAACGCCCTTAAGGGCGGCATAGAAGGATCCTTTGCCTTAAAGACCGTAGAAAGGAAAAAACAAGCTTGCATCTCAGGATGTGATTCGATTTGAAATGTGCGGGAGCCTCAACCAAAACAGGAAGGGCTCTGCCCGACTCGACGTGTTTTGTAGCATGAACATGTTGCAGCCAGGCGAGAACACAGCCCAGTGCTCTAGTGTCTTGTTAAGCGTTGTTCATACTCGCGCTTGGCAGCGTAGCGCGAGCCTCCGCAGATTGCGCGCGAGCTCCCGAGCATGCACGGAGGTGTTTACACACAATACGCTGTTTGTTACATTATTTTCCAAAAACCGCCAGAGGGCGTACAAACAAAATGAAGTGTGAAGAATCAAAAAGACAACAAGTGTGACCCATAGACTGTGGGTGTAAGCGGCAAGAAGCCATAAACTAACCTCCACAATACAGAGGAGGGATTGTAATAATCTGTAAACTCATATCTCATATTCATGGACTACTTTAATTCCTTTGTTCAAGCCCTGTAAAAAAAAAAAAAAAAAGAAAAGTATTAAATGCATGATAAAGGTTGAATATCCTGTAAACATTTTGATTTGGCAGGTAAAATATATACTTAAATGTAGATTTTTAGACGTCCTGTTTCTTTATAGGGGAAAAGTAACAATTCTGCTTCTTCCTTAAGTGAAGAACACTTCAACTTTAGCAGCTACAGCCAAAAATCCAGATTTATCCAGAAACTCATGTCGACAAGAAGTTGACTTGTGCACAATGTGTTGGAAAAATATCATAATGTAAGAGTACATTTGCGTAGAAATGATGATGGGAAGGAGTAGAATGCGCCACCGTTTATTTCGGCGGATTGCTCTTCATGTTTCCTGAGGCTATAAACAGACCTCCTTCCTGCAGGTTAGTCCAGACTCAGACCCATTATTACAAAGCAATACTATGTCTGATGAGTCCAGCCCAGTCTATTTAGATTTATACTGTAAAGTGCTTGTCTTTTGACTCTGGTCCAGGCCCCGGAGTATTCCATTTAAGAGCCCCTGCAGGCGATTTAAGACTTAATTTTGCTGTGTTATTTAATGGCATATCTCATTACTGTTTTATGATGCTGTAAGCAATATGCTCTCCAGAAAACTGCTACTGCATGTCCTGCAGCAGCAGTTTCCTTAAAGGCACAGCTTCTGATCAAATAATTAATTTACTCCAGTGCAGCTCTTCTCTTGACACTTTTTCGATATGATGAAAGTTGTCTCGTGTGAAAATCCCCAACCCTCTCTTCCAAATTTGAATAGATTTTTCTGTCCCCCATTCATAGCTCATTGCTTATTTATGCCAATAACACGTCATTTTCCTTTGCTTACTGAGCCTTATTATTTTTTGTAGCCAAAAGCCGCGAGCCGGTCCTGAATACATAAGTCGGGTACAGCATTAGTCATAATGTACTACAACAAGTACTAACTCAAGAAGAGCCTAGGTAACAATGTAGTGACGGATGTGCATGTTGAGTCTTTATTCAGGGTCTTCATTTATTTTCAAAGTGCATGCACAGCTTGAGGGAGAACCATGTGTTTGTTAACTCATTAATGGTCCAACCCACCGTGAATAGAAGAGGTTTAATGACGTCATTTCATAACTTTTAGGTTTTCTGTGATGATAGGAGCGTTTTGTTAAGTATCTCCTGAAAGTTTTTTCACTTTTTTTTTCACTTTTTTGTTTTCAAGCCGAACATGTCTGTGGCAAAAAGAATGCTTACTGACTGTCGGTATATTTCAAATATCTACGTTGGCATGATTATGAAGAGAAAATGCTTTTCATGCTGACCTCAGCATACTACGACCGCAGTGTGGATCCAGCCCTTGAATGCATATGGATGGAAACATACTGTACATGGATCATGATGTTTAGGACCTTCCTGAATTCATCAAAGATGATGCAGCTAACCTTATTGGGATACCTAGACTCTTAGAGGAAATAGCAACTGCATTTAATTCCCTTTAAATAGGGTAGACAAGTCTTCCCAACTGATGAAAAAAACAAGACAAAAGTTTAGTATATCTTGTAAGATTGCTATGCAGTTGAAATAAAATTAAATCTAATTGCGACCCCAAGAATCAAAGCCTAATCGAATGTGTTCTTGATGTATCCCACTCCTAGTATTTCTGAGTATTTAGGGAATTAACCTTCCCTTGAATTTGAAGCTCTGTGGCTGTGTATACATTTACTGCACCAGCATCCTGACGACTCTTAGTGTCCTCTGTAACCATGTTGGGAAAGCAGTGGTACAACTTAATTCAAACTCTGTGAAGTGTTCGCACCCGGAGCGACACGGCAAATCGATACCCAGTGCATGGCCAGAAGACGCTGGACCCTTCAACTAGAGTTCGACTTGTGTGAGCAGATATATTGTCTCCTGGGTTGCTGTTCTGTAGTTCAACCTTCACTCTGCCCTTTAGTTTGAAAAGATGATTTCCCTTCAGGGATCAATAAAGTGTCATATTCACCATCATGATGAGGTTTCAAGATGAAAAACACCTGCTTGAAAGCTCCCATTAAGAAAATGATCCCCTTCTGGTCGATATTGTATTTTTACACACAGTATGCCGACACTTTAATTTCCAATTACACCCCAGCCAATAATTTATCCCAAAATTAGGAGTAAAACTCAATGAGCCCTTATTTGTCTTTCTCATCTTAACCCCTCCTCCTCCTCTTCCTCATCTTCCTCCTCCACAGGTGACGGAGATCCAGGACTGGAGTGCAGCCAGCCCTCACAGCGCTGCCTACGTACTGTGGGACAATGGGGCCAAGAACCTGTACAGAGTGGGCTTTGAGGGAATGGTGAGCAAACTTCCAGCCTGACCCTATCGCTCAGTCACTCACACACACACACACACACACGCACACACACACAGAGCCTCACAAAAGATCAGCTGTCAGGTGGCTTTTGTGTTTGACCGCTGGGCCGGGGGGCTCTTTCTTTTGCTGCCAGGCCTTTGTGAGAGCCACGCAGCCGGCATGAGTAAGGCACAATTGTACAGGCAGCTGGAAGGGGAAGGTATCTACATGATAAAGGCAAGCTGTTCTCTCTGCTTTTTAGGGGGAGAGAGTGAACATGGAGGTCAACTTTAGAAGGAGGGTGGGGGGGGGGGGGGGGGGGGGGGGGGGG